TATTCGTGGAGCATAATGACGACTGGCGAGTTCATCGTGATGGATGGTACTCTGTGTATCTTGTATCGCGCTATCGCGGCTACCACTTGCTTATTAAACTGTTCGGTATTTCTCGTGGACGGGTAACAAGGCGGACTCGGTTCACCGCGAGGAACAACACGAGGACCGAGTGGAAGCAGAGGAAGATCGATGCTGCTCGTGGCTCGGGCCGAAACTTTTAATAAATGTCATCTGCTACCGAGGTAGCTCAAGTGACTCGTTATAAATTGCTACCGTGCGCGGAGTCCACGGGGTCCACCAGCGCCTCTTTCGAACGCGTCCCAAAAATTATCTGATTCCCTGGAACCGCGGACGGACGTCCCTGGGCTCGCCTCTACGTTCCAGTTCATTCATTTATCGGACCCAAGGCTCTCAACGACCCACTGAATAATGCACAACGTTATGCCGCTTGTAAATGGTTTCACCCTTCTAACCAGGATGAATTGAACCCGGAGTCCTCGCACCGTAATACCGCACCGTTCGTCGCGATTCCTCTAATTTCAGACGCTTTCAAACGCGTGTGGTCGATAACCTTTTTGTACCAAAACGGCTAAATCTTTTACGAGACCAAACACTTTGATTTCAGACAAACTACACAACTTAAGTCTTGGTACTTATTTTCGTAATCACGCTAAAGTTTACGAATCATATTCAAATTTGTTCCCTTTAATATTTAAATTTAAGAATTAATCGTGGCAGTCAAAGTGTTAAAAAAATAATACTTTCAAAGTATACAGGGTGTACGATCACTCCTGGGAAAAATTTCAATCGGAGATTCTAGAAGCCAAAATAAGACGAAAGATTTTAATTTCCGCCCGTAGAACGGCAATTTAGGGGAAATTATTTCTAATCAGACGTTGTATTTTCGGTAAAGAATTTTTTTTCTCAAAAATGCGCAGGATTTCAGAGGTATATGTATTCACCAAAAATGATTGTAATTGATCCCCGCAATCGAATATAATTTTTTCAGAACAATTTGAAATTTTTTAATTTCACCAAAAAATTTGTCCTCCTTCCTGAATTTTCTTCTGGAAAATGGTTAGGATTTCAAGGATATGTCTATTCACAAAAAATGATTGTAATTGACCCCTGCAATCGAAAATAATTTTTCCAAAATGATTTGAAAATTTTTAATTACGTCGAAAAATTTGTCCACCTACTCGAATTTTTTTCTCGAAACTGAGTAGAATTTCGGGGGTATGTCCGATGACTAAAAATAATTTTAATAGACCCCCACAACCGAAAATAATTTTTTCAGGGCAATTTGAAATTTTTTAATATCACCGAAAAGTTTGTCCACCTTCCTGAATTTTTTTCTGGAAAATGGTTAGGATTTCAAGGGTATGTCTATTCACAAAAAATGATTGTAATTGACCCCTGCAATCGAAAATAATTTTTCCAAAATGATTTGAAAATTTTTAATAACTTTCTAGCAAATCCTCAATCAAGAAATTGATATTCTTGATTTTAATCTTATTTTGGCCTCTAGAATCTCCCATTAAAATTTTCCCCACGGATGGCCGAATACCCTATATAGATCAGCTCGTTCTGGATTCTTTTTTTTTAAATAAGAAAAACCAATACAGACCAAACCATATTACGATCAAAGATATGCTAAAAATAGTATTGCTCCCACTGTTTAAAACCCAACAGGCCCAGTAAAAACACCAGCTATTTGCACAGTGCAAATCACGCGAACATCATAAATCATGAAGCTAGTAATCGGTTAGGTTGAAGTAGATCCGAGAACGAACGAAATCCTGCATGAGGTTATTCACGCTTTTCAGAACGTAATTAGGACTAATCGTCTGCCTCGCCTCTGCAAATAATTTCAGCGGAACGATCCTCGTGAGTGGCTTGCCATTCGCGGGAAGGAAATCTTCTCGACGAGGCGCATCGCAAACACGCCGATCGAGAACACACGTGTGCAAGAATCCGACCGATAGTTTTCTGTGGACACCCGGTACGAAACGGATGATTGCGCCTCGCGAACGCAACAGATCGCTACGTTATTATTTTCGCCAGTTATCGAATTAGATGTTGGCTTAACGGGTACGTACGGGCAACAGTCTCCGTATACCCGTTTCATAGGCGTACATACGCCACTCTTCTTTATCGTGCGATAGTAAGGGAGCACGAAACTTTACGGGAGATCCACTCGATTCAATTTTCGCGCGTCCAACTTGAATTTTTTCACCAGGCGAACACCCGGAAGGTCATCGACAATATTACGTCCGGTACCAGAAGACGACGTATTAGATCGTCCCAGAAGTGTCGCTCGATATTCTGAAAATGATCAAATTTATATTAAACTTAGTTCAGGGAATTTTCGAAATTTTCAATGTATCAACATCAACGATTTATAGAAATTTGAAACGAACAAACCTCGAAGCTTGGGATCCACATTGGCTTACGGATTTTCTTGTCAGCAAATAATAAAATCGAACCTTATAAGTAGACTGCGGATCTTTACACAAATTTCATATTTTTATTAATAGAATTAATGAAATGGGAGCTTCGTAGAGGGTGTCTAACCCCTTAAATATAATAATTTGTATCTCCATTTAAACATCCGCAGTCTACATCTAAGAAATAAAGTACAATAATCTCCAGGCCTATTAGTGGGTGAACAATTTGAAAATATAGTTGAACTACATTTTAATAAAGAATCAAACAAATTTCTCAGCGATGGTACAACTTTGCAAAAGAAAAGGGAAGATCAAAAGAGAAGGAGTTTACTGGTTTTCATAAAATCCCACAATATGTTTGGAGATCAAAGGAGATTTAAGGAAAGATCTACAGGGGGTCTCGATCCCTCTTCTATTTCAGTTTACACGCATCTTTTCGAGACAAAAATGAACCGGAAGTCTCGAATCCTTTTCCATCCACCAGGCACAAAATCATCGATCGGGCGTGATCTACTGCCGGAAGGAAAGGTAGGAACCTATGATCGCGACCCGATCATCGCGTCGACTTTTGCATCGATTCGACGTGGCTCAATTTCCTTCGAGAGTTGTAAATTATGCCGATTCCAGATCGCACCATGGATGACGCCCATGGGCTCTTCTTCGACTGTCCTTTTCCTTTTCCTTGGCCCTCTCGCTCCTTTCGCGATCTTCCTCTCCCTCTTTCGCCGTCGTTTCGCTCGTTCGTACCTTTTCTCCGGTCAAACTTTCCTTCTCTCACCGATTATTCCGACGATTTCGTTCTCTGTCATTCCCACCTTCCGCTGGTCGTTCGCTCCGTCCTGCTCGCCCACCCATTCCCGTCGGTGCCACGAAGTACGAAGATAGGGGCATCCCCGAGATTACGGCTCACTCGTTACTACCTACAACGTACTTACGTTACTTTTAGAACTGCTTATTACTGTGATTACCGGCGCATAATGCGACGATCGAGCGTTCTACAATTTATTATTGAATTGCTATAATACGGACCGCATCGGCGTGCCTATATACACGCCGTGGAAAACGTACGGGGCTACGAAACCATGCTCGTCGAATTCCTACGTCGACGAAAAGGGACGAAAATGCGGGAACATGGGAACCTTTCTGTCCAGGCTCGATCGCCTCGTTACACGATCTGATAAATGATATTTACTTACCGTTATCGGCACTACAAGTTCTACCAGACGTTATTTCTTTCCACAGTTTTGCGTTCGAGCTATTCAAGTTTCATAAAAAACGATCAGACAAATACGATGGAGTTTGCAAAGGTTCCAAAACTAATTGTTTTTAATCGAACATATATTGAAAAACGCGAAGGATTACCAATGCATTAAATAAAATGCTCTCAGAAAAGAAACTTAAACGATTATAAATTGAAGAATCTCTATAATCAAAATCTATTTTAATTTTGGGATCTTCTCCTTTGTTGGACCAAACTACCACGTTGTACCAGTGATACCTGCATATAGATATTAAAGTCTCGAAGTGGTTTGATAACTAAAAAGCAGAAGTGCTGGGTGTCTCCATTAACATTTTTGCGAGAGGCTCGTGTCTAAATCTTACACTTAACGTGGCAGGACCTATCTCGCAACTTTCTGCGGGGTCACCGCATATGGTCCTGGACCATTACCGCGCAGCTGGCCAAGTGTGTTTTGCCGAGAAAAATCATCCCGGCTGGTATATAACTAGCAGATCGTTCGGCGGGGCTGGATTTTTCCTTTTCCGACGACGTGAAATGCGGAAGAGGATGCCCAAGGCACACCAACGGGCCCTCGATAACACCGGTACGTACACAGGCCTCCACCGTCTATACACGACGAGCAGGACAAAATCACCGGTCTTGGCCTTCTATCCGTCTATTTCGACGTTGTTCATTGTTGCTTTCATGCGTGATTGGCCAAGCTCAAACAGTTTGCACGAAATAACACATTTAACGACGACCAGACGCGCGCGGAGGCCGCGATTTCTAGAGCGGGTAATTCCGCCTCGATAACGCTACATGTTGCTCGTAATGCATACTTTCAGGAAGAATCTGTCCAACGTCCATTAATCTATCTATAACAAATAATTTCTCAACAATTTTGGAAAAAGTTAGTTACTATGTGAAAATATCTCTTTATATCTCTTTTATAGATTGTTTCACAAAACAATGAACAAAGTTGGAGACATGTGATTGTCGACGCCAATGCATAAAAGAATATAGACAATTTTTCTTTTTTTTTAAATTAAACGAGACAACTGTGGTTTTAAAACCACGGGGAAAACCCGAATATCCAAATTTCTTCTCCAAAATGAAATCAAAATGTTCCTCACCATTTGTATGATGATCCATGTTATGGATCACTTGATCTAGTAAAGATCTCTGATTGATGAAAAAAGTCTTGGTGTTGGAAGGATTGTTAGATTGAAATTGTTATAATTTCTTGTACAATTATCAACAAATGATCACAAACGTGTGAACATTACCAACAACAAATAACTATTATATTATAAGTTCTAGTCGGCAGATGTCAACGAATGTATCGTCGAGTTGTCATCTGTCACACTTGTTACGAAATGAATTATCGAATGCACTTAACAACAATATACTTAACAAACAAAATTAAAGTTGTAGGAGGCGTTTGTTTTTAACGCAATTAAAAGTAGGTACGTGATCATTTACTTTTCATTCTCTGCCGACTATAACCTGCATATGGAAGAACTTAACCTAAAGATGTAAACAAAAACTACTTTTTTTCAGAAACATGTAATTCTACTCTACATGACACATATTTTTAGTTACTCTCTTCTAGAATATTAAGATACCTATTGATTTGAACCAAAATACTTTCAAAACGAAGGAAGATGCAACGAACAAATTTACCAATTGTACCCATGCAATTAGACTCGTCTATTGCGATAAAAATAAGCATGGGTGGATCAATGTTCCAAGAACGAACGCTAATGGGTCGAGCCGATGTATGGCACAAAATTAAAATCTTGAGAGGAACACTATATGACAAAGAAACTGCTTTGAAAGCTATTTTGAATGCCATTGACCCAGCAGAATTAGTACCTGTAAAATATCAAGCCTTTGGAGAGGACACCTTTTTCCTAGCACGAAATTGTGCCCATGCTCTTGACAAACTATGTAAAACTAATTTAATAATCAAATATCCTGGTGGAGATTCGCTTATACTAATAGTAACTTTGGGATATGCATCCATCTATGAACTTAAAATCAATCTTCAACCAGTGCTTTTGGCAGCATTGACCAAGAGATACGATCCTAATACAAAGAGTCTATGTTTAGAACAATTCCATAAAGATCCCGACATGTCAAAAATTCTTTTTTGTCCACTGTCTCAACAGAGATCTTTCAATCATGTTCTCAAGCTAACCAAGACTGCCATTGCTACTATTCAATATTTGAATTTACAAAAAAATGAACTGCTTAGCATATCTCCTTTAGAAACGTCTAACTTGACTTCTATAAAGTACCTTGATCTAAGGTATAATAATTTACTCTGTATGGAATCGCTTGCTCCTTTGAAAAACCTAAATATATTAAAACTATGGTTAGATGGGAATCCCCTCTGTGAAAATTATTCAAATTCAAAACAGTACATAAAATCTGTGAAGAAGTATTGTCCTAATTTAATTCAACTGGATGGAGTTTATCTGAATACATTAGATCTACCACTGATTTATACTAAGTACATAAAAAATGATGAAAGAGAAGAATTTGTCGAAAAATTCACTTCTCACTTTTTCAACCTGTACGATCAGAAGGATAGAACAGTTCTTAAAGGATTATATCATAAAAATGCATTCTACTCTATGAGCTGTGGTATTCCTCCAGCATTGGCTCATAAAAGAAACCTCAATCAATATACTGCAAGTAGAAATTTATTAAAACATGGGGACATTACGAAAAAACGACAACATCTTTATTATGGACTGGACAATATATTGTTGGGGTTGAAAAAATTGCCACGAACTTATCACGACCGACAGTCGTTTATATGCGATGTAATGTATGATGATGGAATATGTTTTACTCTTTCGGTCAGTGGTTTATTTAAAACTCTTAATAACTCGTCACAAGTTTTGACATTCAATAGAACATTTGTTTTATTGGCTACTGATGATCATGAGTACAATATATTGAATGATCAATATTATGTGGATTCAACCACAGTGGAAATTGCACCCAGCCGTATAGGAAGAAAGATTTCATTCGAAGAAATGGTACCATCGTATTTCAACACATCAGAGAAGAAGGAAATATTAAATAAGTTCATAGAAATAACTACATTGAACAATGAATGGTGTCACACATATTTGGAGGAAGCCAAGTGGAACATAAGAATAGCAATTTCAAACTTCATGAAAGATTACAAGTCTTCGGCTATACCAGCCGAAGCATTTGTAAGATAGTATTATATTTTTTTATACATATACTAAAGCATATAGTTAGTGAAAATGATACAATGATTTTCCCACACCCTGTTAAATACAACAGTCAATACTAGTTAATACAAATGAAAAAGCATTTTTACTTGTTTAATTTCTATTTTTTCATTTCATCTACCCACCATAACTTCTACTAAAAACCACTACAAATATTGTAATAAAAAACAGTTTCACCATTTGTAACTGTTCAAAACCGTAACACCATTTAAATTCAATTGTTTCAAATAATTAGTAATGTAAATTCAATTACATTTCCTCCCGTTCCATTAGCACGGTCATCTTATTATTATCTCAATGATAACGTGGCATAATGATGAAAGCAAAGTGAGGTATACAAGTAGAGCTAGCATCCAATGTATTTTTCCAAACGATTTTTATGGGGGTTTTCTCACTTTACGAGATTAAGGAACAACATTTCGTACATTCTTATAATTTCCAAATACTCATCACTAAAATACGCGTTGTTTGCATTTTTAAACATTAAAATGAACTCATTCTTTGCTTAGTGGCTACTGTCAGAGTGAATCATTTGCAAGTTATGTACGTACAATCTCGTGTATCAAATGGTATGCATTCACCAATTATAAACTCACTGTTTTCTGTTTATATTATTTCGATTCTACTTATTAAAATTACACTTTAATTCTTTCCGCATTTTATTAAAAGCTGAAAGAAAAACAAATACGATTTACTCTGATCATATTTGGTAAATTTATTTAACTAGTACACTAACAAGAAAGTATCAAAATATTTTTAAATTAACATATACTTTCTTGCATCGGTATGGACGTATTCTACTTTTGATACACAGTTGCACATAAAATGTAATATGGAAACTCTGAGTACAAATAGTTGCAACTTATTTTTAATAGAAATGCAGGTGTCCGTGTTGGTGGAAGCACAGACGAGGTATGCAAGTAAACCTTTCACCACAGACGAGGTATACCACTAGACCTTTCACCTTATGGGCTTTCGTGGCCCAAACTGACTGCCATACCGACCTGAAAATTCGGAGGTGATTTTAGCGCCCTCTTCACATGGATGGCGGTCAGTTGAGAAACTATTCACTGAATTAGTATATATAGGCAAACAGTGTAGTGTTGAGTAAATACATGTGAGTTGACAATGGAAGAAATTAAAATTCATTTCTAAATCTGTCGGTAACGTTACGAATGACACGAAAATGAATTAACTGAGTTAACTTCAACAAATAAATTTTGCTAAAGTACTTTGAAACGTAACGAGTAATTTTGATTGTGTACGCCTCGCCGAACAGAGCGGTTCAGCACTCCACGGGCGCCAACCCACCTCCTTTTTTGCCTAAACCACAAACATCTTCTGGGACGCAACACTAAAAAAATTAAAACACCTTTGTTCAACGCTAGTGATACCGCAACTTAGGGATTTTCCAAGCACCATAGCGATGCCTGGCGAACAAGAAGAGCGACATGGGATGTTACTGGAATTTTAGAGAGAAATGATTTAGAACATTCCAAAGGAAAATATTGTAGAACCAAAAATTGTTATATAGAGATTTAATAAGCATTTACAAAACTGTCTGTAAAATATATTCATTCTATAAAACTGCGAATGAGATATCAGAATTTATAGGGTGTTTTCTACTAATGCTACCTACCAACAAGGAATCAACTAAATGTAGTTTTGCGTTACGCAAAACATCTACGAATGACCCTCTCCCCCTTATTTTGATCATACTAATCATAACCTAACACAGATGATCAAAAATAATCACAAATATTGTACGATCATAACCTCCACCAAACACTTTTTGTTGAATATAATGTATTTGAAATGACGCAAGCTTACAACTATTACAATGAGTATCAGAAAAACGCAGAATTACAACAAAATCTGAAATACAAACAAAAATATCGAAGACTAAAAAGGATCGTAAAGGATACGGTTTTTGTAAGCTTATATTTACTAATAACAGTCGTTTCTTTTTTTCTTTATAGCACCAAATTTTCATATGTAGTATAATATCAAAATTAGAGTGGACAGAAAATTCGTTTCTGTAAAAATTGGTATTTACTTTTAATTTTAGGAAAATGCAGCACTATGTGATCAAGTTGCACAAATGCAGGAAAATCTTGTGCTTGTGAAAGAAGAGAGACTATTCCTTTTACGTAAATTATGTCAACAACAAGGTGATATAGATCCTTCCACTGTGACAGCTAGATCTCAGTCAAATAGTATTAATTCTATTGCATTTAACTCAGAATGTTCTACACCTAAGAAAACTGCAAAGAAAAGAGTCTCAACTGATGGTACAGGTACTACAATATAATTCTAACTTGAATGGAATTAAAATAGATAAATACATTTCAATATACATTTTACAGAAACAAAAAGTAAAACTAAACGTTATAATAAGACAACACGGAAAGTAGTTCAGTTGATACCATTGGACGTGCATGGAAGACCAATATTTCCTATTGCTTTGGGTGACATGACTGTGTACTCTCTTGGAGAAGTAGTATCTGATAGAATAGCATATCACACAGAAGATCTCATTTATCCAGTAGGTTATTGCAGTACAAGAGTATATGCTAACTTGAGAGATGTGAAAACAAAAAGTTTATATACTTGTAAAATACTAGATGGTGGACAGAAACCAAGGTATATAATTTTATAAATAAACAATGAATGTTTCTTTACAAACAACTAAATAAAATATAATAATTATACGAAAATTATTATCAGATTTGAAATAGTATCTGATAATGACCTTGATCAACCATTGGTTGGATCTAGCCCTGACGAGTGTCATTCAAAATTGTTAGTGGCAATTTCTCCTGTATTGCGTTCAATAACACCAAAGGGGGCTGACTTTTTTGGGATTTCACAGCCTACTATACAAAATCTTATACAAAGTACACCTGGAACACGCAAACTTGCCATATACAAACAACAACGATTTGAAGTATGTAACTTTAAATTTGAGTACTCTAAGTTAATTTAAACATCAAAAGATAATACTTTTTTATTATTTAGGTAAGTAAGAATCAAACAATGGAAAGAGGTACAAGTCCAATAACGGAAGAAGAAACAGATCCAGGACTTGGATTTGCTGCTCTGCATAGGCATTATGCTTTAACAAATTCTTATAGAATTAAAGAAGAACCTACTGATCGTGATATTTTAGCACTTCAAGAACTTCTTGCGTGATTTTTACGTTATTCGTGAAAAATTTAATTATGCTTATAACAAAAGATAATTCGTATCTTCGTGTATTAATGTTACATGAATTTCATCATTATGAAATATTAATATACAAGTGTATATGTATTGAAGCATTTTAAAATTGTACATTCATTGTTTCTATAAAAAATGGAAACAATATTAACATGATCAACATTTATTTAAGAAATTATAACATTTATTGAACAGCAATGTATAAAATGATTTACTTTTTATCAACCTAACTTTTATCTGTTCCATTAAAATGCACAATTATTCCTTCTTTCTCGACTCTCCAAAATTATCCAAAATGCTAAACCTCGCGTACACATGCTTAAGGATTAGTATATGTAAACGGCACAATTCCCTAATAGAACTAGTCTGTCGTCTGATACCATTAACCTTAAAGTCTAAATAACCCTAAATCGACTAACACTCGTTGGTTATTTGAAGCTGTTAAGTAAAGATAGTTACAGTCGAAGCTGCTAGTTTACACCGAACGATATCTAGTTTAACAAACTTGTAAAAAGTATGAATAAGATACAAATAAAATACACAGTTAATTATTCCAACTTAATTTAACTATCGTCCTTCCACGAGGAGGCACAGCATGTTTCGATCCCCACTCTTACTGTAATCCACTGATTGGCTGTCACCTCACAGGAGTGAGGATGTAAACACGCTGTGTCTTCTTTTAGAGGTTCTTTTAAATATCAATCTCTAAGTCCAAGCAATGATGCTAGACCGTTAAAGTAAAATCAAGTAAAACATTTACGCGTGCACAGAATAATATGTTACTTTGTGACTCAAGTATTTACATTGTAAACTTTACAGCACTGTACAACTATTTAGTAATATACGTACTATTTTAGTACAATACCTATTTTTCGGACGTATTGTGCCAACTTAACAGACAATAATCCGGTTTTCTCCATATGTTTCACCAGGAGTATTATTGTTACTAATCCAATACTTCGTAATATCAATTTTCAGTATTCGCCGTGTATATCGGATAATATTCACAATCACTAAACAAAACTACAGAACTTTTGATAATTACTAAAAAAACCATCGATAATTTTCGATAGTAGAAACTATCGATATACTATCGATATTTTTCCACCTCTAATACATACGATTCTTGCGATGATATAAATGTAGGTTTTGTACATTTTTGCACATTAAACTTCCACTGCGATGTATTCGTTTCAGTAATACATACAATACTTTTTGTAATTTATTTATTTTAATTTATTCATTACTTAATCAAGCAATAATATCGTTGTTTAATCATTAATAGATAGAAGTATCTAAAGATTATTGCAAACATTTACAGTACTAGTAACATCGGAGTGCTTTCTGAAGATGTTGCGTTATCCAGGTATATACTTGGTTGGTTCCGATTTATTTATTAAAGTAGATAAAGAAATGCAATAATTTAAAGTGCAGTTGTCTAGATATGGCATTCATGTATTTTCAGGTTCACGATTTCAATAGTTATAGTAATGCGCCACCTGGAAGCTTTTGTACGCGTAATGACAGTGTTGTTGCGTTACGGTTTACGGCATTGAGTAATTGTAAATATATCATTAACGAAGGTTATATCTTACATATAATCTTGAAAATGAACCTGAAACATTAGAATTATTTAATTTAATTGTATATGCAAATGATGTCGATAGTCGACAATCAATTGTGATAATTTCTTTGTACCATGATGGGAATATTGTATGAAAAACGGCCACTAAAACGGCCTAGACTAGGGCCGCCTGATGTCTATCCCCAAGAACCCAAACAAAAAGAAGACGAACTCACTTCTATAAATGTTAAACATGGATTTGCTACAATGCCTCAGTTATCTGATGAATTTGGGACTGCAAGACTTTCTAATGTGACGGCTGCTAAAGTGGGAGCGTACTTCAATGCAATTCTTGCAAAGAAGGAAGAGCTTTCAACCATGCCGGATACAGGAAGAAAAAGACAACAGATCAATCCAAAGGATAATTTCTGGCCAGTGACTGCAAGAACAAAAAATGGCATTGAGGCATGGTTCAAAGATCTATCTGGTTGCAAGCCTTTAATAGCTCTGGCAAAGAAAGCCCCCAACTTTAATAAGAAAGAAGAGATATTCATGATGCTTTGTGAATATCAAGTGCCAATGTTAAGAGCAGCCTGGTTTATTAAACTTAGTTCAGCTTATACAGTAGCAGTTTCAGAGGCCAAAATAAAAAAGAGACAATTGCCTGATCCAACTACAGGTAAATTAATACACGTATAGTTTAATTATGGGTAATCCAATTCAAGGAGGAAACCAAAGAATTTAATATCCCTCAAAAAAATTGTTTATATCTTTAAAATCAAAGTTTTGTTGTTTGAATGTTTTGGGAAAAATGACTCATATATTTAGTGTAAATACTAAATGATTGTAATATTTTATTCGTGTATTTTGATTTAGAATGGACAGGAACACTTATCAAATTCTTGAAGGACCAACTTTCAAAGTTACAAGAATATTATTACATAAATAGCCATGCGACAAACAGCACTAGTAATAATAGTATTGTAAATAATTCCTGCAATGGCAATGGCTCTGGAAGTAGCAACAATAACAATAACAGTAATAATAATGTTAACAGTAATACTAACACTAATAATGGAGCTGTTACTAATCAGCCAACTACACCAAATTCAAATAGTCAAATAATATCTGGAAGTACCATGAATGAAGAACATAAATTAGCATTAAAACAGTGGCATTATTGCATACAGTTGGCAAAGTATATGTTTGAAGAAGGTTTGTTAGATAGGCAGGAATTACTGCAGTGGATTTTAGAATTATTAGACAAAATTAAGTCTTCTCCTTCGGAAGATGGTATTTTAAAACTTTTATTGCCATTGGCATTACAATATTTGGAAGAATTTGTGCAATCCGAATTATTAGCAAGACGTCTAGCATATCTATGCTGTCGTAAGTTGGCACACATGTGTAATAATGTGGAAACCAATGGCAATCCACAAAGTCCATCTATAAATAAAAGCGATGTTAATTGTGGCAAGGAAACTGCCACTGCTAGTCAAACACCAAATCCATTAACTGCTGCTTTTAATGACTATTTGTCATGCCCACATCACAAAGATGTAATATATAGTTTATCAACAATAATACAGGTAACAGCAAATCAGTCATGCAGAATATATAATTGAGTTGCTAAAAATAAAATTGCAATAGCTTGATAATAATATTACTTTCATTAAATCGCGTACAGTAGTGCCCGCTTAAGTGACCACGCTCGGAACCGGCCGCGGTCATTTATGTGGGCATGGCTATTTCTCAGAATTCAACGGAGATAAAGAAAGAGGATAAGTACGAGTGATATACAATAGCTGGCACCCAAAACCATATACATATACAATGTATCGATAACGATCGGCGTCAAGTTACGCTCGACACGCTCGATGTTCTAGAATTGGTGGGGATAACCGCGGACGCTTAAGCGGGCAAAAATGCAGTCACTTATGTGGGCACTATTGTATTATGCGAATTTGTTAATGCAGTAACTAAAGATATTGATTATTATTTAGGTTATCACGTTAGAATGTCCAACCGCATTGGTATGGAATAGTGTTGGAGAAGGGAAAGCCCCATCTGTACTAAACGGTTCTCCTTTGGACTATTTGTCGTACCCTCCGACAGCTTTGCCGTGTCCACCGGCAAGCGCAACTAATCCCATATTAAAACAATTGAAAATTGCGCAAGAAAATATTCGAGCAAGATCTCAAGCTGCTGAAGGCAAATGGTCGTGCGATAAATGGCAACAAAGTAGCGCCGGAATAACGACAACAAAAGTACTAGCTGCTTTAGACGCTCTAGATCGACACAGTTTTGATAGAATGGATTCTAACAATTCATTAGACACCTTGTACGCTAAAATATTTACGTCACCTCCAAAAGATAATGCAAATGAACGCGATACAAAATCGGAATATAATCCACAACAGGATTCTGCTGTAGTTGAAATATTGTGTGAGTGGGCTGTAAGTGCCGAACGATGGGGAGAACATAGAGCAATGGCAGTCGCGAAGCTACTCGAAAAACGGCAAAGCGATGTTACTGGAGAAACGAATGACAATGATGATAAAGATAGCGTCTGTAGTAATGGAAATCCACCTGTACTTCCAATCTTTCAACCATTGCTTATGAAGTTTTTAGACATGGATGCCCCAGTATTGGACAATACATCAACTCAATCAAAAGTTCAGTTTACGAATTTGGTTCACTTGTTTTCAGAATTAATTAGACACGATGTGTTTTCGCACGATGCGTACATGTGTACGCTCATCTCTAGAGGTGATCTTATACAAGGTACATTCAATCAATTTTTAACTGCTAATTATTGCGACACTATTTAATTTGAAAATATTTTTTATATTTATTAGGTATTTTTTAAATTGTTCATAATTCATTACAATTGATTTAGGCCCCGTAGCCAGTAAGCCCGGAACTCCGAGTAATCGTGAACAAATTGACGAAGATAGCTTATTTCCGGGAATAGACTTAAAACCAACGAAATTAGAGGTAACAGATCATGGGCGAACAATGGATTATGATGACAGTAAAATCGATGATGATTTGGACAAGTTACTACAACATATTAAAGAAGATCAACAAAATAGTATGGATGCACCTGACAGCCCCAAAGAAGATGCACTAGCTGGGCATGGAACTCAGGAGGGGCTTGATTCTAAAATGCCATCAAGTCATAGTAGACATTTATTGTATACGACACACTTTCCATTACCACAGGTAACATGTGTAATATGTTCTCTTCTTTGTGAATTGTAGATAATTGATGGTAACACATTGAAGCATTATAAATGTTGTGTTTGAAGGACGAAACGTGCAGCCAACATGATTGTAACCAACGGCACGTATTGCTTTATGGAGTAGGGCGCGTCAAAGATGAGGCTAGGCATGTTGTTAAAAAAATGACGAAGGAAGTGTGTAAATTGTTTGGCAAGAAATTTAGTATTGACGTTGCAGAGGGTGGAAAAGTGAAAAAACATTCCCGTAGTGAATTCAACTTTGAGGCAATTACTTTAAAATTTCAAAACTTGAGTTATTTTGATCAGCATGTAGTGACATGGCAGTGCGCGACTCAAGTTATCGAAATGTTAAACACATTTGCATTAGTTGGGTCGTCGTATTTGCCAGTACAAGAACATGTAGCATTTCTTTTCGATTTAATGGAGCTAGCTCTAAATATATACGGTTTGATAGATGTTTGTATTCAAATTCTGAAGGAACTACCCGAAGTTGAAGCACAGTTAACGGTTAGAAATAGTCAACTTGTTAGAAGCTACACCACAAGCTTAAGTTTGTATGTTGTTGGAGTATTAAGAAGATATCATTGTTGTTTATTGTGTAAGTATTGTACAAAATTCACGTGATGAAAAACATGATAAATTTGTATCGTACAAGTAATGCCTATATCTAATTTGATTATTTCAGTATCTCCAGAACAGACAACGGCAGTATTTGATTTACTTTGTAAAATCGTAAAACATGTGTCCAATCCTAGCGATTGCAGTTCCGCTGAACGATGTGTATTAGCACATCTTTATGACTTATATTCGTCTTGTTCGTTATTAAAAACAAAACCACACGGAGTAGAAGCATTTAGTAATGCTTATCCTAAAATTCGAACAGCCCTTTACAGTACGTTACAGCCAACTACATCGAGCCACGTGTATAATTCGCAATTCATGGTGGACGTTTTTACTAGTCCAAGGCGGGGTGGAAAAATCGAACCGCAATGTGCTAGACAACTAAACGAGACACCGGCAAATCGTTACAGTTTTGTTTGCAATGCGATCGTTGCGGTTTGCAGCGAAACAGATAACGATAAACTAAACGACATTGCCATAACTTGCGCCGAATTAACGGCTTGTTGCAATGCGCTCAATGCTGAGTGGCTTGGTGTTCTCATGGCACTCTGTTGTTCGTCTAATAGTTCAGCTTTTTATATTGATGTTCTAAATCAAGTTGATGTACAAGACTTGAGCATACATAATTCATTAGCTGTATTTACGTCGATTTTAATTGGTAAATGATTTGCAATTGTATTTCGTTAATTGCAAATATCATGTACCTCTGTTATAATACCGTCTTACTTTTGCAGCAAGACATTGTTTTTCTTTGGAAGACTTTGTCGTACATATAGCACTGCCCTCTTTAGTTAAAGCTTGTAATGAAGGTCGCGGAGATGCGGATATGGAGGCCGAAGCCGGAGCACGATTAACATGTCATTTGCTTCTACGACTTTTCAAAACGGTCGAGTGTCCTCAGCCAGCTTTGTATTCCGTGAGCACGAGCCCTCACCCTTTACCAAATGGAAATTCCAGAGGGTACAGCATAAAATTGAGTTGCGATAGGCACTTACTAGCAGCTGCTCACAACAACATAAGAGTTGGCCCAGTTTTAGCTGTACTTAAAGCTATACTTGTTGTCGCCGACGCAACGGCTGGTAAACAACCACCAAAGAAACCAGACGTACCTATGAACCATTCGAGCAAAGTAGGTGGACCAGCCAGTGTCGGAGTTGGTGGCGGCGTGAACACTGGTGGACCAAGCGAACTATCTATAAGTCATATCTTAGGTACCAGTGATATTCTAGGAGGCGGTGATGATTTGGGGCTTGATTTAGCAATGTCTTCATCTAGCAGCAGTGCTGGTATGACTACAGAAAACGTTAAGGGGCTATCGGACTTTGCGCAACACGTCTTGAGACAAATTTGTAGTCAAGAATGGGTACTAGAAAGATGTTTACAAAATCCAGAAGAACTCTGTCACTCTGACATGTTGCTTGACAATATGTTGACACATCGTCAAGCTCAACGATTGCTTCACATGATTTGCTATCCAGAGACGTCCACAGATGCATTCACAGACCAGAAGACCCATATAACAAACATTTTGGAGAATCTAGAGCAGTGGAGTCTAAGAATGTCATGGCTAGATCTTCAACTTATGTACAAACAGTTTTCTCCGGGATCAAACGATCTTTCACAATGGTTGGATACAGTTGCTAAAGCTGCAATCGATGTTTTTCAACTAAATACCATGTCTAGTAAACTGGACAAACGATCTGGTTCGATATGGTTAGTTGCGCCGCTTGTTTCAAAATTGCCAAGTGCAGTACAAGGTCGAGTCCTTAAAGTAGCAGGTCAGGTACTAGAATCTGGTAACTGGTCGAAAACGGCAGCTGGCCGCGAAAGAGGTAGATCAAAATCACCGTCTCTTTTTAATCATCAACCGTTCCTTTCACTAGTACTCACTTGCCTTAAGGGCCAAGATGACCAAAGAGAAGGTTTATTGATGTCATTACATTCGCAATTATCTCAGTTCTTGAATATCAGTAAAGAAGAAAAAAACTTTGCTACTGAAGATCCTAAAACAAGAGAGATGCTACAGGATGCGCTACAATTACGATTCAGTCTCGTTGGTGGAGTTTTTGATACTATACAAAGGAATACGACTGCTACCACGGATTGGGCTATCTTGTTGGTCCAGCTAGTTAGCTACGGTGTTATAGACTTAAATAATAATTCCGAATTATTTACCACGGTCATTGATATGCTAGCCACCCTAATACATTCTACTTTAGTTTCTGATTCGCAATCCGAAAAAGATGAAAATAAAAAACATTATCAGAATTTAATGAAAAAATTGAAGAAAGAACTTGGTGATAGAAATTCTCCAAGTATTCGTTTTGTTAGACAATTGTTACCATTACCTAAATTGACAATGGAAGTTATTACATGTGAACCGGTCGGATGTTTAACAGACACGAAAGGCAATAAAATAGCTGGTTTCGATAGCATTGATAAGAAGCAGGTAAGCTAAAATATGCTTACACTATAATTAAAAAATTCGATTAAAAGGCATTTTGGATAATTAAAACAACTTGTGTTAAAATGCATTTCATTAGGGTTTGCAAGTATGTGATTCTCAAAGAGTGTCAGCGTGGGAAGTATTAGAAGGTCATAAAAATCCAGCGCCGATTTCTTGGGCCTGGTTTAGAGCGGTTAAATTGGAACGTAAACCTCTTACATACCAAAATGCCCATAAACTTTTACGATATCATACCCACAGCCAAATTAGACTACCTAGTCACTACTTAGATCCGCCACCATTGCCTCCAGAAGATTTAGAACCAGACAAAAAGGAATCTGAGCCTGGCAAGGCTGACACTCCCATGAGTATCGACTCGCCTGGAAGAGTAACTGGTAACGTTGCTGGTAGTAGTATCGGTAGTGCCGTTACGAATGGCAAGGGAAAAGCTATGAAAACTCGAAGAAGTAGAAAGAATAAAGGAGCTGCAACACCCACTACACCTGTATCACAGCAAATTCAGGTTTGTTTAAATTTTGATGTTTCATTCTTCACCTACAATTAGTTTCTAAGCGCTCAACTTTTTCTTAAATTTCCTCAATATCTTGTATATGGTGTCTAGCAAGCACCAAATCAACTACAACAAATAGCGTTCAGTAACCAACAAGTAGCTGCTACTCAGCAACCTGGAATGTTTACTGGTCAACCACCGCAGCATCAGCAACAGTGGTATACCAATCAACAAACTCACGCACCAGCTCAACAATATGGATATGGTCAACAATTACCGCCAACTCCGGTTGGGCAAAGATATGACAGACCAGGCATGAATCAATCGAAACAGGCACTCTCTCATATGTTACGCTTACGACTACCGTCCAATCAACTGATGAGCTCTCAACAGCAACCAAATGCTGCACCTGTCGGTGCTCCAGGAGCTTTCCAAGGAATGCAGAGGCAACAGTTCATTAGACAACAATTAAGAGCTCAACACGGGGCTCCGAACATGAACCCGCAACAAGGAATGTTTGCTTCACAGCAACAACAGCAACAACAACCACAACAACAAGGAATTTACACTGGAATGCAGCAAGGTAACTATACGTTGCTATTTGCTGTCTTAACCTTTTAATTTTTAGTTAAAATTCCCTATGGGAGTGAGGAACGATTCCTTTGTTAAAGTCCGGACAGTCCTAAGATCAGACTTTTTATAAGATACTCTTTAGACGCTTCGCTACGACTAGTTCATACGAGAGTTAATTCATGCCCATATAAATAACTAAGAAATAATTTCTTAAAAAATAAAACAAAATTCACGCACTAAAGGGTTATTAAATATTTTGCACCCTGAAGTTATGCATACTGTACCTTTACAGGAATGAATCAAAATTATGCAGGATACGGAGGTCAGCAAATGATACCACAGCAGCAACAGCAACAGCAGCAGCCACAAGCACCTCAGCAAACGCAGCAACAACAATTGTTGCAGCAGCAGCAGCAACAGCAGGGTTTGATGAATCCACAGCAGAATATGATGTTTTCCAATCAGCAACAGATGATGGGTCCTCAACGGGGTCAGGAATACATACCACAACGGATGCAACCGGGAGCAGCTAGGCCGCCATACCTTCAGGTACAGGAAGAGAACAGATTAAATGATAATTCTATTGAAAAAGGTTACTTACTAAATATGATGTATTTACTTTTTCATCAGGCTCCGAATGTTACAATGAACACAATGGGCCCGATGGGAGGCGGAGTTCAAAATCAACCAGCTCCACCATATAGACAAACTAGTGGAAAACCTGGCGCAGTTGGAGTAACGGGAGTGGGTACTGCGAATGTTGGTCTGCAACAAAATCAACAATTCCAACAGGTAAATTTCATATGATACACTATTTGTGTTATAAGTGTTATTTGTGTTACATTTAAATAATTGTGATTATTTATATTATAGCAGCAAGCAATAAATCAGCAACGTATGAGGCAACAAATGCTTGCAATGCAACAGCAACAAGCGCAGCAACAACAACAAGCGCAACAACAACAGCAACAACAAGGCAATGCTGGCGGACAACAACCAACACCGCAGTTAGTAACGCATTTACAACGACATTTGAGCCAACCGCCACAACACTATCAACATCAACCGCCGCCTTATTAGTAGTTTAAAATGTAAATAATTAATTAATATGTTGTACAAGAATAATTTACAGAAAGTGTGTACATCTGGGTCATAAGAGTTACGTAACTTAAGGCAGTATGAATGTGTAAAGCGTGCCATGGCGAAGGCAATAAAATGAAAAGGATTGTAGAAAATCATTGAAAATTATATAACATCTTTTGCATTTGTTTTCCCCTTAAAATTATTAATGTACGTAATACAAAATTAATATACGTAATACAAAAAGCACGTTAAATTCTTGTATTTAAACAGATTTTGTAATCCTTGTATTTAATAACAATAAATTGGAATATAATTTTGCTTTTACAAAATTTAATTTAAAAATTAAAGAAACAAGTAAGTGATTGCATGTTGTTGCTGTTTTTTTATGGCCTCGTCAATTTGAATGATTTAGGAGAATCACCATTCAAGGGGTGGTTCAATTTAAGACACGTTGAGCCTGGCGCTTCATCGCTTCGATCGTTTCCGTTTCCGGCAAACACCCAACCTCTCTATGCTCTAGAACTCTGGAGAGAGATCCGCCAGAATCATTATCATCTCATAGAAAATGATACCCTTTAATGACGTTAATGGCCAGCCGTATGTGAAGGCTGTACAGCTTGGCAATGCTGCGTCGACAGTGGGCTGGCTATTAATTCGGGGGCCCATATGGGGACCTTATACATATAAGATCATCGACCACATCGCCGTATAGAGCCAGCTCTTTCCTCCGGTCCCCTTAAATTAGGAAGGAGATGGCCAAGAACGATAGTCGTACCCTTCACACGAAGTATTAAACGATCGAAATGATCGAAACGCCAACAATGGTCAATGATGAGGCCTAGATACTTTATCCAGGTCTCAACTCTTTTTATTCGTTGCCGAATGCAAAACTTAACTGTAGATCTTAATTATTTTCTGTTTAATATAATTTGTATTGCAGATACAAATCTGGCCAAGAATAAAGTCGTTAATTCAAAAGAAAAAATTTACTAGAATTGGAATTTAATTTAAAAAGTTTCGAAATTCTCGTGTTCGTTAGAAAAAGTTTATCTTCGTCTTGTAAAGCAATCTATGCAAGATTTAATCCAAGATAATGCATTATACCTGAGCTATTCAAGATTGTTAAACTGGTTAAAACACATTGGTTTAATTAATTTTTAAAAACGTTATTCTAAGGAAACGTTATACTAAGGTCTAGTGAGGCACGATAAGCTGATAAAGCAAATATAAATGTTACGATTTACGATACGAATAAATACGAATTTCAGTATTGATGATACCTGATGAATTTTAGATCAAGATTTTCTTCTTAAACATTTAGGAAAGTTTATCACTCTGTCTTCAACAATTTTTAAATAATTTTCTACAATAGCCAAATAGGAACCGTTACTAATACAATTTTCTATGCACATGCGCAAAAGCTACTTCGTATCTGGGACTTCTGGGAGCACTAGTGTATTCAGACTTCCGTTTATGGAGGTTAAGCCTCTTCCGGTTGTATAGCACACCGAGCAAAATGGGTACGTGATGAGTCTTAAAATTAGATCGTTTTTTAAAGTATAAAACATAACTTGAAGATTGTGAAAAGTTCACATAATTTTGTATAATAAATCTAACTATAACTTCGTGAAATATGTGACAGGAAATGTTTGAATAATTTCTTTTAAACTGTGTTGAAGATAACTTAGTTACATATGAATATTGCTGTATGCAAATAATTAAATGATCGATGTAATATTTATTAATGTTTCTTATTATAACTTCACAAGTGATAATATATTTTAATATATAGTATAATAACTGGGTGCAAGTAATAAGTTAAAATTATACGAATACATGAAACGTTAGACGAGTGCAATACATAACCTTATTTTTTAAAACCGCAGGTAAGCCTCGTGGTCTTCGTACGGCACGTAAACACGTAAACCACAGACGTGATCAACGATGGAATGACAAGGATTACAAGAAAGCTCATTTGGGAACAAGATGGAAGGCTAATCCGTTTGGCGGTGCTTCCCATGCCAAGGGCATTGTTTTAGAAAAAGTGTATGTACATATCTGTTTTTGGATTATTTACTTCCGTGAGTATTCTAATTAAGGTTAATTTTATTTTTTAGGGGCGTAGAAGCTAAGCAGCCAAATTCTGCTATTCGTAAATGCGTAAGAGTACAACTTATTAAAAATGGTAAAAAAATTACAGCCTTTGTACCTAGGGATGGTTGTTTGAACAATATTGAAGAGAATGACGAAGTTTTAGTGGCAGGTTTTGGTCGTAAAGGTCATGCTGTTGGTGACATTCCAGGAGTCCGATTCAAAGTAGTAAAAGTTGCTAATGTTTCTTTACTTGCACTTTACAAAGAGAAGAAAGAACGACCCAGATCGTAAAATCATGTATTTCTAATTGCACATATAAAATTTTTTAAAGAAAGTAGTGTTTTATTGATACCTCCACTAAGATTAATTTCTAATCAATGTGTAAACGTTTTTATTACATAAAAATACAAAAATATGAAATTAAAAAACAATGCTTTTTAAAAATTATTTGTAATATAATACTGTAACTTATTGATTATTTATATACATGTTTACAGCATCTGTGGTATTAGTAACAGCATCTTTAAAAATTTCGTTAAACGGTGTGTTAATTTTATTTAATTCCTTTGGTATAGATGCATTGCATATTCCATCTTTTGCTTGCAAAAACTAAAAATAAAAATAAGTGACATGAATTGTCTAGTACATACATGAAATCTTATTTAAATTACTGATATCAAAACATATAATTATAAAACCTGTGTTAAAATACTGAAGTTTGAACATATATCTTTAATATCAGCATCCATAGTATTCACATAATTTTCTTCCTTTTTTTCTTTAGGCCTTGGGTATGTCTCAATAATTGAAAAAGCTTCTAAGAAATTTTCTATTTTTTCATTAAATAATAAATCTGTATCATTTTCGTTACTTTCTTTTTCTTTTTCTTGTACCTATAATTAAACATGATATGTTATTCAAGTTATTAATATCATAATATATAATTATAAAACCTGTGTTAAAATACTGACGTTTGAACATATATCTTTAATATCAGCATTCATAGTATTTACTTCATTTTCTTCCTTTTTTTCTTTAGGCTTTGGGTATGTCTCAATAATTGAAGCTTCTACGAAATTTTCTGTTTTTTCATTAAATAAATCTGTATCATTTTTGTTACTTTCTTTTTCTTTTTCTTGTACCTATAATTGTATTAAAATTTTCATTCCAATATTACTTTAACAAGAACAAGTATAATCATTAAATTTAATGATACCATTACTTGTTCTTCATTATTTGTTACAGTCTCTTCCTTTTTAGATTCATAATCAGAATTTGATTCTTGGTGATTAGCAACATATTCTTTTAAATCATGAAAGTATTGCAGAGATTCAGAATAATCTTGTCGATCTTCATCAATATCAGATATCATTTCATCTGGATCTTCAATAATACAAGCCTAATATATAGAAATATATATGTAAGATGTAATTTTCATGGGTTATAAGATCATAATACAAAACTATATTTGATGATTAAAACAAAGGAAATAGAATGTATACCTGTATTATATCATCAATGCACTTCTCCTCATTATCCTCAGTATCAGATGAATCAATATACATACACTTTATAAACTCTAATAATAGTTTTAAAGTAGGAAGTTGTTCTTTTAATGCACAATTTCCCTATAAAACATTATTCATATTTCTTCAGTACCAATAATTTTAAATAATTTGAATAAAATACAAACCATTAATAATTCCTTGTCAGTGCAAATCCCAATTCCAGAATAATACTGCAATAACTTGTCTGCAAAAGAATATCATTATCAATGTTCAATGTACCTATTTGGTTATTTAGCAACTTATTTTAAACCTTTTAAAGCAGTGCCTCCTAAGTTTTGTAATGTAACTGCTATTTCGGGAGATTTTTCAGCTAGCACCCAAGACAATAAGGAAATACGATTTTTTCCACTGAGAATTGTTGTTTCTACATTTTCTACTGTGGCTGTCGTAATTTTAGGATAACGTATTTGTACTAAAGTGTTATAGATATCGGACATAACTTCTTTCACATCGTCCATCGTTATATATGCACAGTACTCTCATTTATTAAACAAATTGTACCCTATTTTTAACGCTCCTTTGTACAGATCGTAATTCTTTACAGAATTTTTGAATCTGTAACCGAGACTCGAGCAAAGAGAAAAGAATAGTAAGAGACGACACTTTGGTAGTTTAGTTGGCAGTTTTAACTTGGCGTCTGTAGTTTTCCAGGGATTTCCCTGAAGTCTAGTGTTACGCTATCGCATAAATTTATGGGAACTCGATTAATGGCCATCGAGTGCGCGATCATGTAACTCCATTAGAATTCGGAGCGAGATTCAAACGAACCAGCGTCAAGCAGGAGGAAGTCAAGGGTCGAGAGAGAAAAGAAGGCATTCTTTAGAAATACTTGGTTTATTTTCTAAAGGCCGTGTCGAATCGGAGTTTTCCTCGTCTCCTGACGAATTTCTATTTCTGCTAAATCTCGCGAGGATTTTGAAATCCTACGGGGCCCTCACGGTACTTCACTTCGCGTTTCCCCCTAGACCGCAGATCGGGACGCAGCACTAGCTACGTTCTATATTCGATTTATTTTTTTATGTAAAATTGTCACATTGCTTATACTACTTTGTATCTTGAATCGAATTTTAAGATTTTCAGTTTCTTGAGATGTAGAGCAGTTCTACTAGTATTATGATCAATTGTAATTTTAAGTGAATTATTTCTGAGAAAGGCGTGCATCTGTATGTTATTAGTTCATGGTTTATGCAACTGACAGAATAATACTTTGGAGTCGCATTTTAACAATATTTCGTAAAATTTGTATAATTGGAATTGTTTTGAACATTAACAGTTTACACTAAAAAGATTCACTCTTATATACTAATTCAAACTTTCCGTTGCGTGAGGAATGTAAACTTACATTTAACTTATCACGGTGTTTTGTGCGTATAAAATGTAAATCTCACATTCCATACATATATAGTTACATAGTGAATCTAAGAACAAAGCTGTTAAATTAAATAATATTAAACAATGTTCCAATCAAATCAAGAACCTGACATACCTGCGGCATTAGGTCTACTTTCACATCTAAACAATGATGAACTTGATGAATTATTACATAACGATAGCAAGTTTGAAGATATTGTAAAAGATATAAAGCAGGTAAGTTTTATTAACTTCATATCTGATTATATACTTTATTATTGTGATACTTATTTTAAACTAATTATTACTTTTTTTTTTACATAGTTTAAGGATTTAGAAACAGAAAAGGAAATGTTAATGGCCAGTAATAGATCTTTGGCAGAATTTAATTTGTCAAAACAGCCAGAATTACAAGAAAGCAAACAAGATTTAAAAGACCTTAGTGAAAAAGGAAATGCGTTGTGTACAAGTGTAAAGGAAAAACTGGAAGAAATAAGTATGGTTTTATAATATGTGAAGTGCTGTTAACTTTGTGTGTATATATATTATATAAAATTTATTTTATACCTTATATTTATAGAGGAAAAGTCTGGAGAAATGACTGCTGATACTGCATTAGACTTGTTGCAAACAGCTACTGCTGAAATTGAAGAAGAATCAGAGGTACAATATATGTAATACCTAAAATTGTTAAATGCAGAATATTTTCTTAAAAAACAATTCTCTTGTGTTTTGAATATTTAGACTATAGCAGAGAAATTTTTGGCTGGAGACATGGAAGTTGACGAATTTTTAGAGCAATTTTTATCACGAAGAAAACTGATGCATCTACGCAAAGTTAAAGTAGATAAATTAAAAGAGTTAATAAGAAAATCACATTTCACAGTCGGTGATCCTGGTTATCCAGTTGCTAGTAATTTTCCTGGCATAGCACCTGCAGTTCCTTACCCAATTGGACCTGTTTCAATGCCCATGCCAGTGCCATCAGGTTTACCACATTATAGACCATATTAAGTCGACAAATTAAAAGAAAATTCCGTTTTTATATGTTTCATTTACACAGGTACATAAAATATATGTTATTTTGTGAAAATGAAATAATATTTGCAATTACATTTTAAGCATGTATAATAAATAAGTATGTTTTACAAATTATGAGGTTTGATAAAATAACACTCCCAAAAGCAATTGGTAATTGGTGTACAGAATTATATATTGTTACGGTGAGATATTAATGTATATTTCACACATAATTAAAATATATGAACATAAATGTCGCCTAGTTATATAAAATATACAAATTAAGCAATGTAATATAAATGTAATTATATTCTGTGAAAATTGATAAATGGACAAATATTGACACAATATGAATGTATATTTATCGAATATTTCTATTATTCTTCCTTCTATATTGAAGTTAAAATGCAGATTATTTGTTTTGTTTTTATTTTAATTTCAGCTTTTATAAAAATACTTATTTTATATGTAAGAATTTTATGAATTACTACGGAGTACTGCTTATTACGTTGTAAAACGTATATGTGTAAAAACAGGCTTAACACATATTACCTCCTCTTTTCATCAGTTTCTTATATTACTTTCACCGGCAGACTGTCCTGTCAGTTTATATCGATTCGTGTGAGCAAAGGTATCGGCACGGAGTCAACGACAATGAAGAATCTAATCGTAAGTGGTCTAATGTCTCTAAATCCATTATGCTAGATTACGTAATTTTTGAAAATTGTTTTAATCGGCAAACGAAATATTTTCTGGATATACGGAAAATTATAATCGGTTTATTTTACATATCTTTGAGGGACTCGTTTTGTCGATTGTAACGGTTAAAATGTCAAGGATATTAATGTACAAAAAATGTGGGTGAACAACGAAAATATAAATTAGAAAGTATTTCAATGTTGCCTTCTTCGAAAAGTTTATTGCATACATTTAATTTGTTAGTATGTAAGACGATCGATGAATTTCGTAATCAATTTAGCACTTTATTCATCCATAGAACCTGTGAACGAAAATCGATAGTTATATTTTAACATTAAAATATATTCATCAGTTTATCGATCTATATTTATCGTGTATATTTATTTCTTCATTGTTCGTGAACGATTTTCAATTAAGAGAATTTTTAATGTACAAAATATGTAAAAATCAAACGAACCAAAGACTGGCGAATATAACGATTGGGGGGGAAACATCCTAATTAAGCTGAAATAATTTTTGTCCCGTCGTTGAACATGTGTGGGATCGTACATTAGCGTAGTGAAAAACGCTGGCCATCTTTTTTGTAGGACTGTTTTTAATTTATTCAGTCACAAGCAGTATCTTAATCGTCCGTGACTAAAATATTGGAGATAAATAATCAGATTCTCTTACTAAAAGGTTAGCAGGAAAAACTTTAAAATGTTAGGAATGTGAAAGTTGTAGGAATTTATTTGCATTTCTATAATTGGAAGAAAATTGGCGAAGGCTGACTCAAAACAAAAACGAGTTTTAATATTGTTGAGACGAGGCGTATAAAAGTTATAAAATAAAAAGTTGTTTGTCAGAATCAATTGGGAATTAAGGAGGTATTCTCATTTGGCTGGTCAAAACAATTTTTTTACATTTTCTTAAAACTTAATTGTAAAAGTGTAACTTATTCGATCACGATACCTAATTAGACAACAATATTTTCGAATCAGATCGCAATCGTTCTGATTAGCCCCTGCTTGGGGGACGTGTCACATATTTTATCAGAATATTCAACGACCACGACGCCACCCCCACCACCCAAACCTTACAAGTTTCAATACCAGGCAGGACGATATCCTGGAACTGTCGATCGAATTCATCAAGAAAGTGGAGACGGTTCTGGGCACGTTCTAGGTAATGTTATGAATATTAAATAATTGTGCATAATAAACAGAAATGAAATTTATAATTCTCGTGTAATATGGAGAACGCAAAGGACCCAGCTCGCGAACCCTCAATCCGTGTGTCACGAAAAAGCATTGTATGTTTACGTTTCAGGTTCTTATTCTTTCATCGATCCCAAACACAAAGTACGAACGGTGCAATACTCGGCTGATGAAAGTGGATTTCATGCCTCCTTAATAAATTATGAAGACACAGTTACGCAACCTGTCGATTCTGAAGCAGTGAGGCTTGCTAAAGAGAAGCATTATCGACTTTACCAGAAGATCGCTGCAGCAAACGCTCACGGTGTTCCGGCTAATCTCCCGCGAGTAATAAACATTCGTTAATACCATTTTAGTATAAGTTCGAGGCGTACTAAGAAAAGCTCGTTTTCATTACTATTAACACGAGATGTTTCGGAACGGTAGCTTTCACTTGATTGCATGTTGTTTTACAGGATTCCGCGAGCGTGGGGAGAGCGAAGGACAGGCATGCTCAGTTGTATCAGAAGATTGCTGAGGAACACGCTGCGATCGCCGCTCAAAGAGAAACTGAACGATTGGCTTACGAGGCCACTTCTGCCGTTAACGATGTAAATCTTAATCATGGATATTGATGTCACTTTATGATAAAAATAAGGCTGAGGACATGACAATGTGGATTGACCTAAAATAACAATTTTGTATCACTTTACAATAAGTCTAATCGTTATGACAATCTCTTCCAGAATGACTTGTCTTTTGTATTGTCTATTTATAAATGTTGTATCTAAGAATTCGGATGGCAAGTCTAAAGTAGAGAGATTTGTTTGGCATTATAGGTATTAAAACTACAATGCTATTACTTATTACTTACTACGAATGCGGCAGAGTAACATGACATAGAAGAAATGACGCTACAAATAAACATTTTATTATAAGAAAAGTATTGTATTAGAAGAATGAACTCCCCTCCCCCCAAAAAATTAAAAAGTAATTATATACATTAGCGCCGCTTGCGGGAAGTCTCAGAAACAAAGTGTGATTTTCCTTTTTAGTCAAAGTATACAAATCCTAACCTAATATACAGTCTTATTATTTAAGGATTTCCGAATACACGTGCATATTTTTTAGGAGATACTTACATCAAAAGTATTTAATTTTTTCATAGAGATAGTTTATAAATCGCAACCTCACAAAATAAACAAAATGCAGCACGACGATGTGAGTTTTTTGCGAATTATCTGTTATAAATGACATTTATTGTATCCTAAAATTTTTGTAGGTTGTGTGGAGCATTATCAATAAGTCGTTTTGTTCTTTCAAAGTAAAGTGCGTACAGTTTTTTTCTACTCAAATATCCGTAATTTTGTTTTATTACGTGCTAATCTTATTTTGTATTTCATTTTTGTAGCACCAAATCACAGAAATTTTGCCGAAATGAATACAATCTTACGGGTTTATGCAGTAGAGCATCCTGTCCTCTTGCAAACAGTCAGTATGCTACTGTTAGAGAAGAAAATGGTATTATTTACCTCTTCATGAGAACAGCAGAAAGGTAATAAAATTAATAGTAAGGAACGTTTTTTAACATATTGACTGATCTACATGTGGGTTGGGACAGTTTAAACTCACAAGTCCATTGAATATGGAGTAACTATCATGGATACCAGTAATTTGAGAAATTTTCTAAGATATTTACTGCTATGAAAATCATATTATTTCTCTGAGTGTTTGAGTTTTATTCACAATTTCAGTTATGCGCAATAAATGTGTTAACATTAAATTGATCACCGATTACAAATAACTTTATCACTATGAAACATATATTGATAATTTTCTGCAGAGTGCATTTTCCAAAAAATGCATGGGAGAAAGTGAAGCTTTCTAGAAATTTTGAGAAGGCAATAGCTCAGATCAATGAAAACTTATTATATTGGCCAGGTTTTGTGAAAGCAAAATGTAAACAGAGATTTGTAAAAATTACACAGTATCTCATACGTATGAGAAAATTAAGGCTAAGAAGGCAGAAACAAATTGTACCAATCCAAAGAAAGATTGAAAGAAGAGAAAGGCGTAGGGAAGAGAAGGCTCTTATTGCTGCTAGATTAGAAACAGCAATAGAAAAGCAACTTGTGGAACGATTGAAGCAAGGCATGGTATGTATTTTTAGCATTGTAATCATATTCATGTCTATAGAATATTTGTTATTTTTTTTTTAGTACAATAATATATACAATTTCCCACAAAAAGTGTTTGACAAAGCTGTGGAAGCTGTTGAAGTTGAAGGTGAACGTGAAAATGAAAGTGAAGAAGAAGAATATGAAAAAGAGACAGAAATTGAGAAAGAAGTGGAAATGGAACTAGAAGCAGATGAAAGAGAAATAGAAAGAGAAAGAAATGAACCACATTATGTAGAAGCAGAGACTGATGAAGAAGATGAAAATGACGATTTTAACATTGAAGAACTATCAATGGTAATTTATCTATCATTAAGCGTAAATCACAATTATTTTTATTAAATTACGCGTTACAAATTCCCATCAACTAATATGTCTGTCTATGTTAATAGGATGAAGATAGTGACTCGGGACAAAAAGAAGAAGTTGAATTGTCAGACGATTTCGAATCTGAAACAAGTGATATTGAAGTAATGAAATAAAAATTTATAGTTTTTCGTTTAAAAAATGATTTCTTCTAAAATTGTCTATTCTTGCAGGATATGGTGCCCTCTACCAGCAAAAAAGCAAAACGACCGAAAGTCAGTAAAAAGGGCAAAATGCAAAAGAAAGCCCGTCCGAAAGTGGAAGTTGAATACGAAGTCGAAGAAGAACCTCGTCAAAGAATACAGGCATAATAAATTTTTAATTAGGACGATTATAATTATATCTTTAATAAAATTGAATCTTATTTTATGACTTAAAACGTACTGTCTTGAGTTATGCTCAGTCTGATCTGAAACTTGGGTATCCGTCCACCTTTAGTAACCGAGTATCGACTCGAACCTGATAAAAATCGATTATATTTCAAATTTAAGTTTGAAATGGCTACATCCATAACTATAATATTTTTGAATAATTAACACTGATCTTTTTCTTAATTAGCCATTTAATGTTCATTAAATGTTTTAAGTTAATGGTTAACATGACATTTACATAATAATTTATATTCGTGAAGTTTTACTTCATTTAGGTTAAAATTAAACACATCATGCACTTCGAAATGCCCAAGTTAATTGAAATGAACAATCGATATGTACAGTCGACTTCAATATTAGCCATGTTAAACGAGATACAGTAAAACCGCGAGAGTCTGTCTGTTTAGTGTAAAGTCGGGCTCTTGCAGCTTTACTTTTTTTTTTGGACGTGGGAAAATCCTCGTGGGCACCCGCGGGCCCTTCCAAAAAGAAGGCCGGCGGGTAGTGCCGGACTCTTACCGGCTAAAACCCTACGGTGACCATCCTCAAGCGCCTGGCGAGGGACCGGGATCTCTAGTGAGCCATCACAGAATCCCCCGCTGCGCCGTGCCTTTTCAAGCCCCTCCCCTCCACTTGACCGCATGCGCCTGGTCACCAGCACCCGCGGTCCCGTGACATGGGACTAAGCCGCTGGCCGCAGGACTCATCCGCAGCCAGCTGGCCAACCTGCGGCCTTAGGTAAACCCGTGGCAAATATCCCATGCCTCAGTTCACTCACACACACACAACACATTCATACCGGTGTTTGGTCCGCGGGAGCTTTCGTTCCGATCTCCGGGATGCGGCTACCAGCCTGAGAAGGCTGATGACCTCATCCCTGCATCCCATCCCAGCGGCTGCCCATATCCGCCACCTGGGGACGTGTCACGTAAGGGTTCACTTCCCCTGCCACCTGGACAACCAAACGGGTGCGTGGCTTGCAGCTTTACTGCCTCTTGCTCAATATGGCTTGTATTCGAGTCGGCTGTGCCGCTAGGTTTCCGATTGGTAAAATAACACTGAAGCCACAACATTACATCAATTAAGAGTCATCAATGTCATTTTACTAATCAGAAAAATTAATACCTTGCGACAAATTCAATACCTATGTGTGTACATTCGTATTTATTTAAGCGGTTAATATGAGAATTTAAAATTCGCGCCAGGTCGAAGAGCTTGAGAAGTGTATGTAAAAATCGTAGATGGCATCTCCTAGAACAAAATTTGTGTGGACTAGCAGACGACGTGTTTGTACACAAGAAATAAGGTAAATTCTCTCAATTTTCCTTATGAAGATCATAAATGAACATGAATGAATTATTTATCGTCGGAGCTATAACAATTGCAATAAATTGTAATTAATTCGAAATTGTAACATTCCTCAAACACTCCATCATAAATATAACATTACTAGCTATTTACTCGGACGTTGTGTATGCTGTTTATCTTCCATGTACTGACTTGTGTGTAAACTTATCTTTTTAAACGAAAAACTGCGATGCTCGAATAAGATCCACTCTACTCCTGAAATAAATTAACAATTGCGTTGTTAATTATCATATCCGATGTATGGATATCCAGGTACCTATTATGACTTAAATGAAATGATTCCTTGTATAAGTAAAACGAGAAAAGAAAATAGGAAATGTCAACTTGCGCCTTGTCAAAGAGTTTAACAAAGGTTTTCTGTTGAATTGTTTATCGCACAAAAGAAATTTAATTACTTTGCATCTGTCGTACGGCGTACAAAAGTATGAGTTTCATAATAAATTATTTGCAGCCAAATGTCACGAACTTTGCGTTACCCATGACAGTACCTTTTGTTTGCTATAAATAGAAAAAGTAGGTTATCTCTAAAATCAATTCCGAAAATAGGGCAATTAACCGAATATGTTCGTTATTTTAAATAAGCAATTTTGAGGCAAGGACCTTACATACTACAGTTTCTGATATTTTTTGTTAAGTTTTTCTTTTTAACATGCTGAATTTACTCAGTACAGTACGTTTATTTCAACTTTATTGTAAAATATGATATAAATACATGTAAATTTCATTGTGATGAAACTAATTGCATTACATAATACATTAGGGATGAAATACAGCTTTATTATAGAACAGTGACTTCAGTTATCCATATAATGATAGCATGTATAATATTTAGTGTGTCTCTCTTTTAATGTTTCTTGATAGCATGTTATTTGTATTATCATGTTATTAATATGTAATTAATTTTTTATTACAGGTACATTATGAAATTTAAGGAAGTTGTTAAAGCTTTCAATTAATACTAAAATAAGGCATGATTATGATTTTAACATAGCCTTATTTAATATTGTTCCGAGCTATCTTATTTTGTGCATAAATGCCAAAATACTAGATAATATCACTATGGAGTTAAATAATGTTGGAAGCAACAAAAGCTCAATATATATGGCAATATCATTTAAAAAATTATGTTTGGCAACAGTGTCCTTACCTCTTGTTACTCTTTTAGTCTGTTTCGTTACAGCATATATCTTCCAACAAGATGACATTCACGAAACACATTGTAGGGTATGAATGCATATATATTTGATATCATAAATTCTTGTAAATAATAGAATTATGTTAACTATACTAAAAATGAATGTTTTTAATCCAGGTTTACAATGTACTTCCATCAATCTCAGCCATTACTGGCATATCTCCTCAAAGATATTTGTGGCGTATATGTATAGCATTACATATTGGTCCTCGTCTAATTATAGCCAATGTTTATCGTTCATATTATCATAATATACTGAAAGCAGTCGAGGATGTACCTTTGAGAATTATGGGATGTAGACTTTTAAATTTATGTTATTGGTTGAATATCGCAGAAGTAGCAGCCTTATGTGGCGTTACATATATCTCCAACAGGGAAAATTATTGTAAGTAACATTATGAAAGAAAGAGCAGTTTACTACTTAATATAGGACGAAACAATAGATATTTATTATGGGCGGTACTGATAAGTGATGCTATATAATTAAATGTACATATTAATTCAGTACAACTGATTAATATTGTATTAGTTAACAAATTCACATACTTCCTTGTGTATGTACATACTAAAATACATTTGTGTTGCAATGAATTTTAATTGTCAATGTCTATTATATATTTACTACTAACAAATAATTTTATGAACATTTCAAATACAAGTATATCACCTATTACAATGTCTTGCAAAATAGATTTATTAATGAATCTATTTTTGTTTTTTTTAGCGGTGCATGAAAAAATTTTCATTGCCTTCATGATTAGCTCTCTTACATATATGCTAACAGCAGTAAGGCTTGGTCGCCTTGTGACGCCAAATGCACAAAGTCTTCAATACAAACAGGCACTTTTTGTAACAAGTCTTATTAGTACTATTGGACTTATAATTTTCTTCCTAAAACACAGATTACTGTGCCACGATCTAGGTAAGGAACCAATTATATTTGTAATTTGAATTTAATGAAAATATGCACTAACACATTACATGAAATCGTGAAAAGTAAATATACATGTTGTTCCTGAAATAAGTGGTCAAACTTTAACAGTTATAAATACTTTTTCTTGTTCACAACAGATTGTAAAAATATTTTACAAAAAAAAAAATAATAAAAATGATTTTCTTCTGTATAAATGCATATCTCGCATTAACATTTCATAGATGCTTGGAGACATTGAAGGATTTACTTTTAATAGGTAGAAAATGATAACGATAGTTATAACTTGAAAAAACATTTCCAGAACCATTTTATGGCATAGAATATAATAGAATATGTTCCTAAAATTTAACCACATATTTCAAAAATACCCTATTCATAAAATACATATCAGAAAAATCATTTCTAAAACTCATTCACTTTTGTTTAAATATGTATGAGATATTAAACAAGTAACAGTCATCAGTAAATAGCACACTTGAATTTAGATTAGATTTATAATTGACCCTCCGACGGTCGTGTTTTTTATCGTAAAACAAGCACCTTTTTTCGTACTCCATACACGCGGTGTTGATATTATGAAATTTTAACTTTTGGGGCAAATAAATAGAATAAACTACAAACGAGGAATAGGAAAAAGTTTGAAGTCGATCCGACCATGGGGGAAAAAGTTTTTGGCGAAAAACTAAGTCGTGTACTCGGCGCACGGGCGCACCCGCCGGAGGGTTAATGTGGCTAAATATAAAACTTAATGCAATGTTTTTTCTAACAGCATTTAGTTGGTTTTCCTTATGCGAGTATGTGATTGCCTCTGCAAACATGGGTTTTCATGTTACTGTAGTTCTAGACTTTCCCAAAGAGCATCTGGTTGTTGGGAATGGTATATCTGCCTTAAAGGTGGAATAACTCGTCGTATTTTATATTCATTATCTTATTATTGTAATCAAAGTGCCTACTGCCACTGTCTGGAAGTGCTATTGCCAAAAAATAAAACGAAATTATATATTATATAAAGCTGGGTATCCGCTGGCATATACTGGAGAGCATTTTTTTACTAAACATGTCTGTACTAAACGAAGCTAAGAGGGTTTATAAATAGTTGTTGCCATACATTTTATGAATTCCGTGATTTTGGCGATACTTTTAATGTCATAACGTAATATGAAACGTAAAATAAATCTGCAACCGTCATATTTGAATATCGTTTTTCTCGAGAAAGAAAAAAGAGAGAGAGAAATATCACACAACTAATTCATGATGTGATGTCAGAGCTAATAAGTGATTATAAACTCCCAAAAGTTTCGTTGTACGTTTGGTAATTTAGATTTTATTTCATAAAACTTGGTTTATTGTAAACAATTCTTGAAATTTTAATGCCCATGCAAAAATGCTTAAAAGAGTATTTGTTACAATATATTTACCGCATTACTGAATATTAATATTTGGGTAATATTTGTATGCACGTAATATTTATTGTATATAAATGTTTTCGCTGAAATATTTAAGTGTTCGTAAGAATTCAAAAATATGTCGTACATACTGAGTGGATACACAGTTGAATACACAACATTTCTCGAATTAATTTACACGTTTAATTCAACACAGTAATACTAGTTTGAACCAATGCTTTATGTTAGGTAACACATACTTACAATAAGTTTTATCTTAATCTCTTGCATTTAATTGATAATTTTTAATTGAAAGTATATGTAAATATCTTCCAATTATTTACAATATACGTATAAAGGCACAATTGAAAGGAAAAAGTAACAAATCTAGCGCTTCCAAAGTATGGCACTGGTATCTTCCCAGGCAATGAAATCTTTAATGGCCTTTTAGGTAGTGGTAAACTCGTAATGGTACTAGACAACTATGTATCCTACATACAAACAATATTAAATATTATAAAGTCCAAACTAATGGGATTTCATATTTAGTTTCTATGTAAAGCTTATTTTAAAGAGTAAGAAGGAGTAATAACGCGAACGAAAAATTGCTATATGAGCTGTCTTATTGACAATTTTAAACCTGCTTATTTAGAGGATTTTTGCAAAGTGAGAATTCTAGTCGATAATTAATTCTAGTCGTCATGTTTCTGATCTGTATTAAACCATTATTACGTTGTCATGTCATGAAGTTTGATGCATTGTTAGCATGTAGGATGCATTTACGTTAACGTGATTTTCGTCTTTAATGAGGGTGCGTTCATAAAGTAAGTGTACGCAATTTTAATTTAAGGTACAATAGAATTATTGTACACGATTGTACAGTTGTATATCATCAATATATTTTATTGTGCATAAGTATACATGGGTTGTACATTATGTAAAATATAATACAACCAAAACGGAACCGGTCATTTGATGATATTTATGTAAAATTGTTCATTGCGTTATTATGTTATAAATGTAAGCATTAATATTTTTGCTTATGGTTAGCATACAGACTTTAAGTACAACATGGTAATTAATAAATAATTGGCATATAAATAATTAGGATTTTAATAGAGAATGACATATAAACAGAAAGTAAAATCAATAATTATCTTATATAATGTATTCCTGACCAAAGCTTGAATAACGTCCAAAATTATGGAACAAATTTATGAAATTAATTCGAATAACTGTTTTTACCAAATTTTATAACCGAGAACCATATTGTCCCTTTTAATACCTTTACAAGGTATTTGCAGTAACATTTTACAGAGAACATTAAATGAAACAATGTTTGTGATAAAACACATTGCTGTAGGTTTCGAAATCTGTTTTATAAATTCGTATGAATATGTGTCATACTTTACGAGACTAAGCGAATACATCGCTTATTGCTATAAATGCTATATTACAGAGTCATGCTCCTTACATATTTATTTCGAATGCAAATAGTAAAAAGATAGATTTCATGTAACATTTACTTAAGGGTGTCCTTATTGCACTTTCTCACATACAAATATTTATTATGCAGTATATTTTTATGTCTGAGCCAATATTTATAAGTTTATGGTAAATTATTGGGTAACAATCTTTCTTTTTTAAATATACAGGGTGTTCGGCCACCTCTAGGAAAAATTTTAATGGGGGATTCTAGAGGCCAAAATAAGACGAAAATCAAGAATATCCATTTGTTGATGGAGGCTTTGTTAAAAAATTATTAACGTTTAAAGTTCCGCCCGTACTGAATTTTTTTCTCGAAAATGCGTAGGATTTTGGGGGTATGTGTAATGACTAAAAATGATTGTAATTGACCCCCTCAATCGAAAATAATTTTTCCAGAACGATTTGAAATTTTTCTTTTTCGCCGAAAAATTTAGGCATATTCTCGAATTTTTTTCTTGAAAATTCGTAGGATTTCGGGGGTATGTGTAATGACCAAAAATGATTACAATTGACTCCTGTAACCGAAAATAATTTTTTTAGAGCGATTTGAAAAATTTTTTTCGTCGAAAAATTTCACACCTTCTCGAATTTTTTTCTAGAAAGTACGTAGGATTTCGAAGGTACGTCTATTCACCAAAAATGATTGTAATTGACCCCCGCAACCGAAAATAATTTTTCCAGAACGATTTGAAATTTTTGAATTTAATTGTTAATAACTTTTTAACGAAGCCTCCATCAACAAATTTGTATTCTTGGTTTTCGTCTTATTTTGGCCTCTAGAATCCCTCATTAAAATTTTTCCCAGGGGTGGCCGAACACCCTGTATAACATTATTTTTTAATTATGAACAACTCACTTTAATAAATAAAACTTACTTACCAAAGTGAGTATATGAAATTAAATCACTTAAATTACATATCATAACGCGATTGTTTTTATTTGTTTTTTAATCATAATAGAGAAACAATTGTAGATCGTCACAGCTAGTTTCGCGATACAATTATCAGATAAAATTTGTGCCAAGTGATGTATTAAAGATACTTTGCGTGTATTTATTTTGCTGGCATCGAATCCGCGATGTTATGTAGATTAAAATTTATGTACAAAATATCTTTAATAAATCATTTATAATGTAATCATTTCAATCGCTTATATGTAATCAATTAATAATATTTTTTCTTTAATTGTCCAACAAAAATCATATAAATTCGTATAATTGCAATCTGTTTATCGATAGATATAGGTGATACATAGTATCGATTCTGAAGGTACTATAAAAGTGAAACGATCGTAAACTATTTTTCTTTTTAAACAATTTACGAAAATGATTCATTGTACAGTTATATTTTACAGCTCGCGAATAATTACAAGCTAGTTGTAGATTTAGAGAGTATCGTCACTCACTATGGTTCATTTCGATATCTAATTTTATAGCGGGCTCGTACTTACCTCGTAACATTATTAACTCGATATTTCGACGAGGCTGCAATCGACTCGAGAGACAAAGAAATCTGATACGGTTTATGTAAAATGTCACATCGGTGCCAGAATATAATGTGTTGATGAAGTGCAAGTTAGGGCAACCTTGACATGTGTCAGAATCTTTATTTAATTGATGTCAGCCACTTGGCACGATGACTCTGTCATGAATTAGGCTGAACGTCTCCTGTGGCTTAAACAGAGGTTCATTATATAAAGTAGTTCAAAGTGGGTTCTGGAGCAGAGTGATACTTCACTATAGTTAACAACAATTATCTATTAAATGTATCGAGCAAAAAATATCAATAACCACTTTGTTCCACATTGCTCCTATTTGCAATTGTATATATAGCGGGTGCACATATAGTTAAAAAAAAAACGTAGGCGAAGAACTTTATATCGTAAATAATACCGAGTCATTCGAAATTAAGGAAGATTTAAATAGGTAGCGAATGATAACGGGACTCGATAATAAGTTTTGCAATTGTAATTAAACGTCAATTTTTCTCGTTGCATGCATGCACACGCATTAGCATTTTTTAGGAGAGCTTTTCGTAATAGCGTATTCACGATTTACCCCCTTTTAAAGATCAAATTTCAAAATTATACCACAAGGACGTTCTAACGCACTGTAAAGATTCGTTCACACCCTCAGAGTGATTAAAGGAAAATTATTAACATCGAGAAAAAACGTTAAACTAAAAAAAAAATGTACCGATAGTGATATTTGCTAGATCTTTATTCCCAATTGTATTATCGCTACTATTTTTCTAGAATAGTAATATTTGGTTGTGAGCTAATATTTTACGTAATGTTATTATCTACGTATATAAAGTATATTTTCTCTTATTTTGTAAACGGTATAGAAATTTTGCGTGTCAGATTGAGCTTCGTAGAGTCGGTATTAAGCGTTTATACTAGGGAGCTGGAGATTGCCTCTGGATGGAGATCAGAATTTAAGAAAAAAATATTATTAAATATTAAAATTTCGTGTTATACAAATCGATGATCGACAGCGTCGGTATAATGAAAATGCATTTTATGGACGAATAAAAAAAAAATGAATTTCTCTTTCGTCGTGAACGTCACTCAGGAGCAATCTTTATAGCTCTGTGCAGTATTTTCTGTATAGTTCGAACCTGAATTCTTCAGCAATAATGACGACGGTAATGAGAAACATATCGACTCGATAGGTACTTTGAAATTTTCGTTTCTACAGGGAATCTTGTCAACGACATAACGCGTCGTCGCTTGAATAAAGCGCGCTGTGTGTATTATGGCGAAGAATTAGAAAAATGCTTCGGTTCGCTCTTCGCCGCGACGAAGAATTCGAAAAGAAATTTTTACACGGATATTCTTGCTACCGGCTCGCGGACATTATTCCGCGGCGCATATTTTCCAACATAATTTTGCTACCGAAACACTTTTTCTGATTTACAATACGTCTCGAACGAACGGACGAACCGTCGTGCCCCCGTGAACGGAACAACAATTTCAACAATTCTGTGATAATCAGCACAAATAGCTGTTTTACTTTATTACCTTTACGTTTGTACAGTAGCTTAAAAAAACTATACTCATCGTCTTTATAGCCTATCTAATTAAGAAATAGCGCTAGTTTTTTTTATTTTCTAAGTTATTTAATTGTCGGGGTCAATAATTTTAGACGATGTTTACGTTTATTTGGAGATCCGTTACAAGTATTATCACAGAATTCGTTTCTGTCTGGACACTTCCTGTCGATGAACGGTCGATGTTTGAACAGTTTTGTGTCTCGCTACGATTACGCCAAAATTATAACGCGAGGATAGTAAATAATTTATAAGGTCTAATCGAATAAATATCGCGGTAATTCCCGGTTTCAAGTGATATTCCTTGCATCGGTCCGAGTAATCAAATCGTTCTCATCGCATTTTATGTTTACGCTGGATCATATTTTATTCATATACGACTATTAACATTTTTATGGTGTTATGAAACGTTTCTAAATTTCTAGAAATTTTAGTTTTACGTGAACGACGATTCAGATTTTGCCACTTGAAGATAGGAATTACTGTATTTCGTCCCGATCTGTAACTCAACATTGTAAATTATTATATATAGAGTGTTTCAAAATACGTATTACAATTGAAACGCAGACGATTTCTCTGGCAGGAATAAATCGAAAATGTAAAATAACATTTATCGGTGTTTAGACTATATAAAATACGCACACAAAGCAAAACTTTCCCCGATTTGTCAATATTTCAATGGCTTGTCAATTAACGAAATAAAAAAACAAAAGCTTCGTATATTTAGTTACGTTTTCTCGTACAACAGCTTATTTTGTCACAAAGTCGATGCCAAAAAGTTTCTCCAGTCTATTCCCCAAATCGATTGTCCCAAAAACGAAGACTCGTAGGGGAATATTTGACTTCGTCCATAGAAACAAAACAAGCAGTGGCTTTGTAAACGGTGATGAATTTCTACGTACAATTGTGTCCATTGCGTTTCGACTATCGTGGTTCTCATACATTCTAATACGATATAAATAAATAAATTTTGTTTTATTTATATGGACGTCTTCGAACACGGTGATTGAAAAGTCAACAGGAACGGAGAAAAGTTTGATTTCATATTCTCGATTTATTGTTTTCGACGGAAATCACCACCTATTGTGTTGTACCATGTATTTTGTAACACCCTGTACAGCGTCGAAGGTGAAGCATAAATAAATTAATAATGGGGCGTAGATAAATTGCGTCTGATGTCTTCGTTATAACTTATTTAAAAATGTAAAAAATTCTAGAATTAATTGCACAGAATCTACATTTACACGTTACGTAATTATGATTAACTTGAAGAAAGAGTCACGGTGTGTGTACATCGTACACCGAATTACAGGCGATCTGTAAATTTCTAGCGCTTCACGTGCATGTTTGATCTTCTCTTCTTGTACGCACGATCAATTAGAGCGAAAGTGATCGAGCATCAAGCCTGATTAAAACTTCGGCATGGTTGCCGAAGGTAATTGAACTCCGTTGACCTTAATACAGAGAAGGAATGAGCAAACGGAACGGGAACGTGCGACAATGACAGAGAAACATCTGAGTATGTAAATGACCAAAATAGAAGGTTGATCGAATCTCGATGACACGTTACCGTTTCTTTTTCTTCTCTGTTATACGTAATGTTTCGTTGCTGCGTGGAACAAGTTGCTGGCGACATAATGTACGTTATCTGTAATCGGCTTAAGCAACGTGTCCTGCACTGTAATCGGAATGTTCTTTAGCGGGAGTGAAGTGTGAAATTGCGTTGATCTGTTAAAAGGCGAAAAACGTTTCATGATGGGTTTTGCCTTGTACATGTAAAGAATGATTAATAAATAAAGCGTAATGTGCATGAACACTCATCGTCGAAACACTTCATTCATACCGTTATAGAGTTATTTTTTATAATCCACTACCAGATATATGTTTTAGTTCTCGTCAAATTATAGTTTTAAACACTATTAATACTACCATCTTTGAGACAATAGACAACATATACCTGTTCACCCGACACACCCGCCTTTAGCAATTTCGGATATTTTTATTCGTCGATCTTGTAAAACAATATTGTGCGCATTATTCACAATTTCTACCGTCGTTGCAGTTTTTTGACGACCACTATACGTGTCAAATTGCAAGCTGCCACGATCACTTAAATTCTGCTGTCAATTTTTGTACTGCAGTATTTGTATGAAATTTCTATCGATATTCAGTCTTAACGAAACATTTTATCTTGGCGCGATGATCAATGTTATTTGCTTTACGGTAGGAAGTGAGATAGATTTTTGAAAATTAATCTTATTGTGTCAAGATACGTAAACAAAACTTAAACAGTATCATCGTCAGTGTACAATGTCTAGAGGTGGGATTCTTGCATCTACAAAATGTCGAACTCTTTTCGCGATTTTTTTTAGTTCTTTCCCACCCTTTTGAGTTCTCTTGCCTCCACTATTGTCAGGTAGATATTTCGAATCCTTTAGAACCCATTTAAGCATCTACCTGCTCTCAGAGAATCTCAAGATTCTCAGATTCGCGGAGGACAGACCTTTGAAACGGAAAGTTAATCGTAACAGTACTCGTACTGTAGCATTTTGTAACACTACTCGTGTACAAAAATAAACTATCTTTATATACAGACCAAAATAGCATTAAAACAGCTCAGGAACGGTTTTGCTCTTAACTACAACAGAAGTGATTTATTTATCTAATAATTATAAAAGCAGAATATTCGATAGCGATTTATTAACGAAAATTAACTTCATTTCGACGAAATGTTAACGTAATAATAAATAGTTTTAGCGAGCGATTCGTCGGGAAAAGAAATTTCAATGCTGGAGCGTGAAAGCAGCACAGAATCAATACCCCATCGCGTAACAATATAATATGAGCTTTTGAGAGCATCGTGAAATAGTAAAATGTTAATTTTCTGCGCAGAACAATTATTTTAATGAAAATCTTCAAAAATTTTCTTCCAAAACTTTGAACGATCGAATCATTTTTTCTAAACACTATTTGACAAACGAATGAAAGTAAATATTACTTACTGCGTTAATATCTTGGTCAAGTAAAGTTAAATTTCTCAATTTGTTCTTTCTTTCCCTAACATGTACGAAGGACAGCATTTATTATTGTAGAAAGCAATTTTTTTTAATAGTAGAAAAATCGTCGAATCCATTTTTAGCTTCTTTAGAGATATTCTATATCCATATATCCGTCCATTATTTTCTAAATACATTAGGATCATTAGATTTAATGTAAAACGTAATTTTGAATACATTTAATTAGGATTATTTTGATTACTTAGTAACAGAGCGAGTCACCGAAAGTTTTGAGCCGATTCGTTTCTTTAACTGATTCGAGGATACGCTTCTCATTATTTTCTGAGTTAACTGCGAAGGATCTTTCGCGAATATCGTACCTTCGTCGATACAACCAATCTTTTGATAAGTATCTAAAAATATAGTAGTTTCGTGTCACGTTTAATGGAACCAAAAATAATGTAAACGATGAAGGTAATTTTTGTTTACCAGGTAACACTTGATCGACGATACTAGTTTCGTTTTTCTCCGTTTCCTCCAATTTTTCGGTGTTCGTAGAAGCTTCTTCATTCGCGTCGTCCGTATCGTTGTGCCAACAAAATCTTTTCGGTTTCGTTTCGTCGAAATCGAGATCGGTGTTTACGGGAGCGGTGCCCATGCATTTACTACACCGCCAAACGATTCTAGGATCGTAGACGTCGATGTCAACGACTGGGGGCTGGTGACACAGAGGGTGGTAGACTTCTTGACAGTCTTGACACTCCAATAGAATCAGTGGTCCCAATTTTGCTCCGTTACAGATCTTCCATTCAACGAAGTAAGATTAGAATCGTATTCGCTGATTTCACGCGTAGAAAGGTCGAACGGAAATTAACGTTTTCATTATTTTGTTGTAATTAATTAGTCGCAGAAAAACCTTGCACAGAAGCAGATCTATCGATCCCTCGTCCGGTATAGATATCCTCGGAATGTCTCCTTTCTCGCTGTAATCCTCAACGTTTGCCTCGAATATTTTTATTGGATTGCATGTATTGTCTTTTGCATTATCCAAGAATATCAGATTCATGGATTTCTGAGAGGTATTTCCAGGCCTGCGCGAGACGGCGACGTCGAGCGTCTCTGATCCGTTGCTCGAGACCGTTTTCCCACGAATTTTGGTATTTTGCAGAAATTTCTTCGGCATGCTTGCCATTAAAATTTTGTCAAAACCGTACTTCCTCTCGATGAGCGCGTCCAACATTTTACGAAGTTTCTCCGTGCTATCCTCGTCCGTCGAACGTAACAGCGCTAGTGCGTTATAGAAATCTTCCTCGACGTCAGATACATCTTCCGTATCCTCGAACATGTTGCAGAAATTTCAAGCAATTTTTATCCATAAATTTCTTCCAAATTTTTTTTTTTTGAACGATCGCTTATCGCAGTTATTGACAGACACTTTCTGGAATAGAGTTTTGTAATCTTGATGCAACGTAAATTTTGTAGAAATAATTGACAATAATTCTACAGAAAGATTTACGAAATAATGGAACACGTGGGAACAAGAATAAGAAAAAACATAATTTTTGAGCTGAATACTGAATTTCTTATTGCATTTCGATAGATCGTATCTTATAAAACTCACTTCTCAGGGTGTAAATCCAATACATCTTTTTAACTTTTGTGTCTTTATCATCTATTGCTCAGTAATTAAAACCTTTTCTGCAAATTCTGCGCGAACGAAACTTCGATGCTCGGGAACAACGTTACAGCTTATAAAAATAGCAAACGCCCGACGAATTCAATTACACGAACGATAATATCGATAATAGAAACTCTGAATGAACGTTCGTTGTGAAATGTGTCGAAGAAAACTAGTCGTTATTTATCAACTCGAGCATCGACTCGCCCAGGCGATTGTATATCGATAGATTTGCATCGATGCACTATTGTTCTTCGGTCTGGTAATAAAACTACCGACCGTTTTACCGCGATTGCAGCGTAAATACGATTGATTAGTTACGAACGTTCCTAAAAAAAAAAAACCGAGAAAAGATGATTTGTAAGAGTAAACGAATAAAAATTTAAACCTGTCAACACCGTCGTTACTCGCTTGTCGTATTGAAAATTAATTTTAATGCTCGAACGCGCCTTCTAAACAAATATGTGTTTGTACTCGTTATATGCAACTGTCAAAACAAGCAGATATGTTTATAAAGAATTGAAAATGTCGTTAAAGTTATACAATCAACGTCTCTGTAAGAACATAACGTTATAAACGTTAATAATATTCTTGCAACAGCCTTGTCGGTTCCGTAGGTATTGACTTCTAATGCATCACGTGACTCGTTCTGCATAGGAGGGGATGCAATTCATGGTATGGTCGAAAAGGAAATGATTTCTCGCGAGGAAATAAGTTTGAATCGCGAAATGAAGTTTTCTCGTAAGGGGCATCATTTTGAGAAAATCGAAACGTTCATAAGTTCCGTAGTTTCGACGCGTATTTTTAGAATTATTTTCCTGGAGTATTTTTATTTATAAACAGTCAATGATGGAATTTTTGTACTTTCTATCGAGTTATTATCGATGTACAGTACAGACGAATATTGAATAGATTCTGTATGCTTGTTAAATTTTTATAATTGCTCTTTTAGTAAGAAAATTCTTCAGTTTCACATTTATTGACTAAATATTCTCATTAGAATTAAATATCTTGCCTTCTGTCCTGTTTAATCGATTGAAATAGTCGAACTTATTTAACGGCGAACATTTTTTCGAAATATCAGCCAGCCTTCACAACTTAGAATAACTACTCAATAATGATTATTAAAAACATGAACAGTTTTTAACATATTAAACTTTTTTTAATGAAAGTTTACGATAGAAAGTACAACCATTTCAATCATTGATTAACAGACAGTGTTTCATCCATCATTTTAACCAGTTACGTTTTTCGTGCTCTTAACGCGCAAAATGAAGATTAATGTGGAAAGAGGGGGGAGTAATCAATACATATGGAACACGGACAAAGTAGTCTACAAAATTATAATAGTTTTATTAACCCTTAAGTGGATTATTGGGGTTGCTGCGGCCCCTCTACAAGTTCAAAATAATAATTTCTTTTCATTTATTTGTTTATAGTCGCATCAACCGCTAAGGGTTATTAGCGACTCGGAGAATACATTGTTAGAGCTTGTTGTACAAATAATAATTGTTTAATACATATCCTAAGTAATCCTCCATTAGTTCATTGATTTTTAAGTGCTTTGAAGGAAAATTATTCAGTTGAGACTGAGAGTCCACTTAAGGGTTAAACTCCTGACAGGGTACAAATTTTTCAGATTTGCGACCTACAAAGTCACATAATAAACATTCGTCAACGTTATAAAATGTACACTAAAATAATTAAACGCGAGAAAGCGAGGTAATAAACTCTCCTCTGAAAATTGTACTTTGATTGGGATTTTTCAAGAGGAGGAAAACGTCGTGGTGCTCGTGAACAGTAGCGTAGACAACGGTAGGAGTTTTGGTGCGCAACGAGTGTCTCGTGGATTGGAAAAGAAGGCGTTCAATTATCGTGGACAGTGGTGGATTCTCACCCTGCAAGCACAGTACCAGAATCGAGTGGAATCCAGCTGAGAAGCCGGGCCCGGTAGACGTCGAACGAGTAGGATTATTCGCTGGTGGATCGGGGCTGGAGCAGGGACCGGGTCGGGGTCGGGGCCGGGGAACAATGTCGGAAACGACGAGGACGGTATGCCGAGATATGCAGGATATCGCGCAGAACTGCGATCCTTCGAGGTCGGAGCAGAGAGGAACGGGTATAGAACGGTGCGCGCGAGTAAAGCTGGATACATATCCCCGTGCACCACCACCACCAGCAGCCCCGACAGCAACGCGCAGGGAGAGAATACGTCTAAGTGTATTACCCCCGAGAGCGTACCGTTCCGCCTAAATATGTAATAATATCTACCGGGGATACCGGCATTCCTCGACCTCGAGAAGAATTCGATCAAAATGTGTCGCGATACTCCTCTGGTATGCCAGGTGAGGTACAAGTCACTCCACGGTTACCCTTCCTGCACCACCTTTCCCGTTTACGCTTCTACGTCTTCTTCCTGGTTCGCTCGGAACCGAGCGTTTCTTCGAACAGGATCGGATGCGATATCGGTATTCGCGGTTTCGCGGCCCCAACGCCTTTCGATCGGACATTTTGGTGCACGGTACACGAAACGGGACGATTTCCGAGCTGGAGACCTGGAAATCGTTACAGGAAACGTAGAGTGTCTTAACTCCTTGATGTACGATTTTGATTCAGTCAAACTAGCGTTTCGATCGGACATTTTGGTGCACGAACGGTACACGAAACGGGACGATTTTCGCGCTGGTGTCGCGGAAATCGTATTTAAACTCCTTGGCGTACGATTTAATTCCAAATATGTTTTCGAACATTTAATATTTAATTTTGTTTAAATTTATTCGTACGAGGAACGAAGGAAAAAGAATAGATTTGTTTTAGGAATATCTCAATAATAATTACGAGAAATTGGGTCTCAAAATTCCCGTAATTATCGATGTTCAATCATGAAGCCTCGCTTGCACTTTGTATTTTTACTATGTTTACTATAGGAATAATCATATAAATCTTAAAATTTACATTTAATTTCAGTCGTCGCAAGTGTAATTTCCGCAATCGTATCTATCAAATTATATAACATTCGTAGTTTATAGATATTCCAATTTTTTCTACAAGTACGCAAATCATTTTTTACCACCCCATTTCGACGAAGAAATACGTTTAGTATGAAAAATACAATATTACGAGCGGTGTTTCTGTTTCGTGGACATTGCGGGAGTTTTCTGAATACACCGTTCGCGCGATATTTTAATATTTCGTGGCTTGTCGTTCGCGCAAGTAAATCTCCACCGCAATAAGCTCCGTCAGGAATCTCACCCTCGCAGAATATCCGCCGGTTATAAGAAATGTTTTCGAAGTTTATGAGGTGATGCGAAGGTTCGATGGATCGAACGCTTCTACCCCTTTTTTGAAATAACAATCGATGGGGGGAAGATGCTGACGCCGTAAAAGTCGCAATAAAACTGCTGGCTGACAAAAATTGTCGAAAAGATACAAAGAAAGTACCACCGTAGAAAACTGTAAACTGTCGTTGTTCGCGAGATTCCCGTCGCTTTAAATTCGATCGAGTAATCGTCGCGTTTGTATATTGGGTTAAAATTGTTAATCGGTTCGATCAAATCATCGAAGATTATTCCAATCGAGTAAGACGTTTCCTCGATTGCGTTCTATTTTATCTCTAATCGGGCTGATTAGGAATTTCACCACCTCGATTGTATATTTTGAAATGTTAATTACAGCCAGTCATTGGTATTGGCTTTTAACCTTAAAATGAATTAGCAAGGAAGCGGCTAGGTCGGCGTAGATTTCAGATTGCATAAGGAAAGGTTCGGTGGAAAAGGAAATATTTGATCAGAAGGATCGGTGTGTTCAAAGTCGGCTTAAGATAAGTGCGAACGGTGTAACAGCTCTTAGCTCCTTGCTTACAAGTCTCGGTTGTTATCTTTACCGATTTTAACGCAATTTGACAGCGTAATGGACCTGTATCTACTAATTTTGAGAAATAAATTAGAGAGATTGTTTAAGTATCTAAAAAGTTTTGTTGAAAAACAAAACGAAGCTTTGCCAGAAAATTCAATTTTATTCTAATATGACACCTACGCCTGTTAAAATATTTTAATAAACTTGAAACAGTTTCATTCGATTCCTGAAATTTCGTAACGAAAAGAATAGTATTGTCTAATACGTTTCAAATTGGTGTACTTTGATATTCGAGAACGTTGAATGTTAATAGTATTTTAACAAGATTTCTGTCCGTCGCAGAGAATCGAAAGAGCCCGAAAGGTCATGATGTTGGTAATAATTTCGTGCGTCTGCTCCGTGAATACGATATTCGAATACAATTTAGCCATTGTTGCGACGTCACAAATTTAAGCGAAAACTCGAATTGGCCGGCTTCCGTGTCCTCCGGTGCAGTTTCAAACAATGCAGGAATAATAGCAGCAACTTCTGCGAAACGATAATTGCAAGTTTGCTCCAATTTGCGTTTAATCAGTTTATAGCGTAACATGCCGTTATAATTAGTTTAAACATTTGAATTTCAGAAAAAACTCACGACGAACAATGCAATCATATTCTATGGTGTTTGTTACGTATTAAAACATTTTTTATTTATGGTCGCGACAAGTTTCTGTAATGATATCTGAGAAGCGAAATAAAATTACGAAATAGAACTTTACACGTATAAAGGAATAGCTCTATATAAGAATCTTGTTAGTCGTAAATTTTTGTATCATTATCCACGCTAAAAATATATCTACATAAATTATCTATACTATAAATGACCGCTATTAGCTAATTGCAAGGAACGTTTTGGTTAAGCAATATTTATCGGTTAGAATATCATAAATTATGTTGATAAATTTCTTTGTAGAATGCATTTCAATTAATTATAGAAACGCATACAAATTTCTCAGGCGATAAAGTTCGATCTGAACATAATAATCATTAACGAGACGATGCAATCACGACCTAACGACACTGTATATTTCTCGCAGTTGTTGGAACTGTCGATGAACTTACATCTCGATAGCAGGTAAACTTGTCGGGATACAAATGAACGCGAGATACATAATTGCGCAACGCGACGCAACGCAGATCGTTCCTCAAATCACGCACGCGACGCTTCATTCGATCCTACAATTATAATGCGTGTGCATTTTCATAAAACTCTCATCTTCCATTCAACAATGGAATCTGAATACTACATTTTTCTTTATAGCCGTTGAAAGATAAAAAATCTTGAATTTTTGTGGTCGAAGCAAAGAATTTTTGCTCTATAAAAATTGTAATCAAAACAAGCAGCGGTTTTAAGTAATTTATAACGCGATGCACTGTAAATACTGTTCCCGCGTACGGAAATTCTATTTTCTTTTTGTTCCATTAAACGAAAGCATCGAGAAACGAATCTCTGTACGCGTATCGCGGAATTACAGTTTAATCGAGAACGAAGAGTGCGCTTGGAATTGCCGTGAAACTAACGGAATCGTTTAGCCTGCGTGGCTCGTCGACACGTCATGAAAATCGAACGTTCATGTAATTAAGTAATTAAACCTCCCGGGTGAAATCGGACCGTGCCTTTCCCATTCAATGTGTCGCGCGCACTGAAAACCGGCACGAAAACTGTACGTTTCAGCCCCGCGGCGAATCTGTCACCGTGCACGCTCCGCTACTCTGTGATCGTTCGTAAACATTTGCGGAGCATAATGTGTCCAACTGACAAAAGGAGCTTGCACTACAGCTCCCGTATAAAAGCATTAATTACGGCCGCTTTTGTCTACATGCAAAAGACACGCTTTGAGTGTCATTTTAATACGTGACATTCGATTTCATGAACGTTGAACGTTTTGTCATATTTAAAACCCATTTCTGGACGCTCGTTGTGCGCGGTGAATAAACCGAACTGTTATCAACGAATAATTCGGGAACACGTACAATCGTGAGTTTTATTTTTCGCGGTATTTTTCAATGGTAATCGTTTAAATTACGTGCATCGCGCGCACGGAATAGAATGAACACTGAACTAGTGAACTCGTAGTACTAACTGTTCGAGAAACATTTTACGTTTTCTTTTCGTGCACAAGGTGTTTCCAAGAATATCTCCGTTTCTTTTTAAGATATAAAAAAAGTCCAGAGGATCGTGCGTCTCGAGGAGGAAAAAAGCTTTTCTTGAACCGTCGTACATTACGAGATTTTAAAATAGATATTTGATTCAGCGAATCAGAGCTTATAGATATATTGGTATCGAAATAACATTAAACAACCCAAAATTGTATTTATATGGGAGGAAAGGAACTGTTTGTAATTTATGTGTTTCGACGCATGTTTGTTTTTTTTCAGAAAGTAATCAAAATGATCTCCGTCAACTTTCAATTAACTTTCACCTGTAATGGCACTTAAAAAGCTAAGTTTATCATGAAACCCTCATTACGCCAGATGCATGGAAGAAAAGGTTCATCGTGCACGTATACCACCATTACCCCGAAACTTATCGAAAGGTAAAACAGTTATTTACTTATCGTATTAGCAGTAATCGTTCTTTTCCATATAATTGCGATTTTTGTTATCAAAATCATTTTAAGGTCAACATATTTATGTAAATAAGTTTGTCTTTTTATAAACTACATCGACGCACTGAATCATCCTATTAAAAGAAATGCTGATAACTTTAAAGCAAAACCTTGAAAAATGTTTGCGTGCGTCCAAACTTTTTCCCTTTTAATAAATTTACATTTACTAACCGTTTCAAGAATATAATAATTTATTCAGTTGAGTTAGTAATTATTTGCGGTACACATAGAATACGGTGCATAAATAAATTTGTACCTAAAATAGATTCAGATAACATTTTATTGATTTTTTTTTTATTTGTATCATTGGTAAAAAATAATCTTCTGTAGATAAAGTAGAAAGCCAATTATGTATTCGGATAAGTGAAGGGCGACTCGGATAAATCGGTAACTGCGTATCTGATGAATGATTCGAACGAAACCCTGTGCATACATTTACCACAAAAAGTGTTAATTATGTTCGTATAATCAAGATCCAGATATTAATATACCGTATAATCGAGTGTTTTCAAATATCGATTTCTTGAGAATCAATCATTCCCTATAATTAATATGTATTGATATGAAAACATCGTTGATAATGAAAGTCTGTCAAGTATTCATTATGAAAAAAACTAATTAATTATATAATCCGTTTCTTAAAATGCTAAGATTTGAATTTTAGTAGTTGCAATATCCAAATTGCTCATCAGTAACAGAACACCTAATTATTCTAATTGTCGTGTCATTTGGTGTAGTAGACTCTTAACAAACTATACTTTCCTTTGGCTATTCTTTTTTCTTTGAGTAACACATTGTGAAATATTTGTCGATACAATGATAAATTACCTTAGTAATTGGACGTTAAACAAATCGTGTATGTATCACATAGAAAACAAGTTTGATGCTTGATTTTAAAATCAGCTTAATTAATAATTAATTATTAATGCCGTTTACAAGACCCAAGAGAAAAATACTCATAACTTTCAAAACTACGAAAATATTACATAAAAAAAAGTTTTCGCTGCATCCTAGATGCTCTATGAAATCATTCAAATTATATCTAAGCCATTGTATAGTATAGACAACAATATTGAAGGTTGATAGGTGTCGCGCATTCGTTTATGCCAATAAACACGATTTAAAGTGTTATGTTAATCCTAGTATTGCGACTTTTCTATTGAAAATTGTATACGCGATCTGAATACTTCGAAAGGACCTTGACGAGACAGAGGCGTCGAAGAAGCTGCAACTCCTTGAGTAAATTTTAAAGGAAATTACCGTAAAGATATGAAAGAAAAGTGCCTTGAAGGGTGGCGAGGACGGAAGGTCGTTTTCCAGACAACGTAGCATGAACGTCACTTGGCAATCTTAAGCCAATGCACTTGTACTGGGTCAATTGTCTCGCACACAGTTACCGTCGGCTAATCCCTCGAATCCGTTAAGTACACAAATGGTTCCAGTCGGTTAGCTACCGAAAAAGTGCACACAGACTATTTTATGACCGGAAATGTCAAGATTGTAACGATACCGACAATATCGTTAACTCAGATTGTTAGTGCAGCACAAAAGAAAAGAAATTTGATTTACAACTACTATAAACAGACAAACAGATAGATTACTTTTATTCGTTTCAATGAAATAACTTTTTTTATAATAAATCAATTATCTTTCTATGCTGAAGTATAATTATATTTTGTAAGTGAAATATGAAGAAAAATACAATTCGTATAGAGTTATTTACACAACGGTATTATTCATTGCACGTTTTCGATCGTATCGTATCAGAACGATATGCGTGTACGAGTCGAGTGGCCGTTTTGCGATTAATGAATAGGTACTTTGTTAATTATCAAAAGGTTCATTCGAAAAACCTAAACGCAACCCCTGAAATTCAACAAGTGCCCCTCAAACTTGAGCGAGAAAGGATAAACGAGTGAGCGAGCAACAACATCCAACCTCTATTACGTGCGTGACGCGACTGATCTCGTGCGCGGGGAGTAGGGAGACGATGGTCCTGTACGAGGTAGTGGGGGTACACGGTTGGTCATGTTCGATCGAGTTCGTGTATCCTCGGCCGTGCTCGGCTTCTGGTTTCTCCCGCGGCCGCATAAGCGGTGTCAGCGTGTGCGCAGACCGGCTGCGCAGCAGGCGTGTGCGTTGTCCAGATTCTTTGTGCCATTCCTGGCATACCAAAAACAAGAGTGGTGACTGCGCTCGTATTTACCGGGGTGCAGCGTTGCGCGCTAATATTACTGTGCGAATTTTACCCGTGGTGTAAAAGGCTCCGCGCGCGCGCGACGCCACGTCAGCTCGCCCAGTGGTAAGTACATTAAAGAATACAGTGTCGAAACGTCCTCGAAAGAGCGCGTCTACTCGTCCACGCCCGTGTGTCCCAGCGGCGTCGTCCCACACAGGGGCCGCGCACGGAACGGATTCGACAGCAGCGACGACGGCGATATACACACCGTCGGACACAGACAGACGGACAGACGGACGAAAAGGAGTGAGACAGAGGGAGCGATAGACGCTGCGCGAAAGAAAGAGACGAACTGACAAACCGACCGTGTGATAAAGATAAATATTAGGAGGAAAAGAGAACATAGACACAAACGGAGTATGTGAACGTGCGTATACGAGTGGCGACGTTATCCGGTTGATTGTGCTTCCGAGTCGGTAAAAAGATACTACCGATTCTTCCTATATTCTTCGTGTGTCATGATTGTCAGGTTCGTATTTCCGGTGACCGTGATGTTCGCATTGCTAGCCCCGTGTTGCTGCTAGTGGTGCTGCTCCTACTACCGCTTGGAGAGAAAGAGAGAGGGAGCATGTATGTGTGAGCGAGCGAGAAAGGATAGGAGAAAGATAAGAAGGAGAGGGAGTGAATGAGAGAGATGAAACGATAGTCAGATCAGTTTGATAAACGAAGAGCTCGAGTCCGTGCCGGTCTATCGCATCTACCGTGCGGTTTGGTGGTGCATCGGTGCATCTGTCTTTGTCCGATTGTCGCGTGTTTACGAGCGTTGTGTCAGCTGTGTGTCAAGAGAACGCAAGTTCTGTGTATGTAGTAACGAAGCGTGTGCAGTCACTCTGGCAACGTGTACGACTCGGCGTACAGTACGGACTCGTCGAGGAGGTTAGGACGAAGCGTGATCGTGTGCCGGTGGTGGTGGGCTGCGTGCGTTTCCCCGAGGAGAGCGCGCCACGACAGAAACGTGTGCCTCTGCCTAGTGCCTGCGTGCCAGACCGCTCGCTCACCCGCTTCTGGTGAATTCGTATGGTGAATTATTGATCCGCGGCGGCGTGTGCGTGCGGAAAAACCGCGCGAGTAAAAGAGACGAATTCGCAGAGGATAGGAAAAGAGTCAGACGGACGGAGGAAACGTTTAAAGATATAATACGCCGGTGTCGTTGTTTTGAAAACTGTGCGCGCGCGAACACGCACTCCGACGATACATAACACGACTTCTACGAGCTCTGGAGGTGGAGCAGCGGTAGCAGCGACGGATTTTCTTTCCCCTAGGCGGGACCAAGCGAAGTGTTCGCACGTATTCCATTGCTCTCGACGACTACGTGTGTCTACATACGTGTCTCTCTCCCCTTTCCTGTCATTCTCGCGCGTTCTCGTTCTCTTTCTCTTTCTCTCGTTCTCGCTCTTGCACTCTCTCTTTCTCTCTCTCTCTCTCTCTCTTTCTCTTTCTCTATTCCCCGCTCTTTCTCTGCTCTCGCGTGTTATATGTGTGTGTGCGTTTCTCTCCGTCTCACTCTGGCTGCGTTACCGTCGCCGCGTGTGCGTCAACAAAACTAAACGCGGGAAAAGCTCGGGCGCGAAATATATTCGCGGGGAATGTACAGGGTGTTTATCGTGATACGCGGTGCGTTTTCGATGCTCGGCCAGTGAGTGCCCAGTGCAGAGATACGGGAACGGATATTTAGACGACCGGGAGAAGTTCAAACGGGAAGTGTTGTCGTCGTCGTAAGACGACGGCGACGACGATCGCGACAACGACAGCCACGACGATAAACGTTCGAGGAACTTAAACGCGACGCTGTTGTCTTTGTCGCGCTCTTTCGCGTCTTGATAAATCCAGGACAAGCAAAACCCTTCCTTCGCCGCCGCGACTTGGATGGATACTGTGCATTATTTCTGGAGTGAGTTTCTCTTTTAATTGTGTGCCTGTGTGCGGATGTACGCTTGCATGCGACCGTGTGGGTGTACATGAGTTTGTGTACGTGCGTGTTGTGCCACGAGTGCTTGTAACACGCGGTACCGCACGGCTGGTTATTTTTTTTCTCTTTTTTCTTCTTCTCTTGTGGCTAGGCATCATCGCCGCCGTCGGATACGCGACCGTGGACAAACTTTACGATTATCGCTGAAATTTTTGAACCGTTCGTTCTGCCGTTATCGCGAAACGTGACAACGTTTCATGCTTCCTGGTACAGTGAATATTTCCTTTAAAACGAATATAGAAAAGTACGGTTGCCTCGCTGTTATTGTTTACGTCCTCGAGCATTATCTCGACCGGTTCGAAGAAACACAACACGCCGTACCTGACTTTTTGAAAGTGTACCGTGGCAGCACGGTTTGTTTAGCTGTAAACGGATCTTGTTTCGACCGCTGGTTCCGTGCGTACGCGTTTGCTGATGATGAACGTCACGAAAATATTCGAGTGACAGTGATTTTTAGCACAATGACGTTATCGCAGTAGGTTATCAAGAATAATTCCAGGGTGACATGGTAACACGCTGTTACATAAATTTGATCAGATACTTGTTCTGTTATCGTAGTTTGTAAGCGGTACGGCCAGGTACGCCGTTTATAAAAGATTGTTGCCGTTGATTGCCTATTTCTGGTCAGTTGATTCGCCGGCTTCTGCCATCGACGCGTTCGTATTTCAATTAGAAACCAGTCATGATCGAACGTAGCCACTGTGTAACCGTGACTGTTTATATTAGATAGAATATTAGTCGACCCGAGCAAATGGTAATAGAGACGTGTTAACTCGACATTTAGATTTCGTTTGTAGATTTTAACCAGAATTTTTGTACGATTCTCGAAGGATTCTCGCTCGATAGTACAAAAACGAAATCGAAAACATGAAAATAATTTTCTCCGAATGTCTGCTCAGATATACCTAATTCAATATGAATAGTTTAGCATAACAACCAATTTCTGCGTTTCTATTTATTTTTGGTTTGATAATGATTATTCTCATGCTTATCTGGCGTGTTCACGCATTGAATAAGAGTAACGCATGCATTCGAAGCATGGGGTCGTTTTCTTTTTGAGCTATCACATTTTACAAATGTTTCGAATATCTGAAAGTTTCGATATTCTGAAAGTAATTTCGTTGCAAACGATCATTGTTTAAAGTGATGTGATAACAGCAGCTGTACGGCTAGATAGTTAATAGAGCTGTGAATGTTGTTAGGTACAGGTACGTTGTATTTATCGGTATCTTATCTAGTTGCATCTATTCACTCCAATAAATCTATTTAATCCAAAAAACGTGGTTAGATCGAAATGCTCATCGACTTGAGCATCTTATTTTTTTCGAAGATTCTATGTCACGCTCATTCATTGAAAGGAAAGTTTAGTTTTTAAATTGAAATGTTCATTGAATTTTATCTGTAATTATCCACATACGTTCAGATTACATTATATTTCAACTCGTTTTAAAATAGACCGAAACGAACACTTCTTACTGGTATTATTGGTTTGTTTACTGTACAATATTAGTCAACGAACGCTCGTAGCTTCTCCTATTTATCAATACGTGTCGTTATAGACTGGATGTTGAAAAAGTAGCTCTTAAGATTGCACGTGTTCTTTGTTGTTTACGATGTAAAGAATTCCAATCTGAACTTTTTGTTAAGGAAGATTTAGTACCGTTTCATCTTCCATTAAGTTTTCTAAGTTAAGACGCAGCGTCACATCAGTGTTTCCACAATGTGCACACCCTGAAATATGTAACATTACGTTATTATATAACTTTTAAAAAACAGTTAAAAAAAGTATCGTTACGATTAAATCCCTCATTTTATAAAAGTTGGATATCGTATTGTGTTAGGATAGCCTATATTTTCATTAATTAAAATATGCAGTGTGGATATTAAAAATTGTGACACGGAAATAGCAACGCGTTAACGTTTTTCAGTTTTTTTCCATAAAAGACATGATATCGTGTTTTCCCTCAATTTTTAGAAATTAAACGACGCGTCCACGTTTCCAAAATTACGTTAAATAATAACTGCTAGTTATGAAAGGAGGGTCGTCGAGAATTTATTGTCGGAACTGGTTGAATGGAAACTGGTCGTTCAAAGAGAACAGTGAATGAGACACAATACAAAAAATGAGAAATAACGCCAATTCGAATAAAATAAGTCTTAATAGGTCTTTATTCAGGCTACTTTTAATCACAATTTGTTTGAATTATTTTTTAAAAATAAATTGAATTGTGTTCGGACTTATTTCCATCGGAAAAATTTCACCAAACTATTGATAATGCTCTTACGAAGATACAATAGGACGTACAAATAAAATGTATAGAAGCTTTTATGGTTGTAACACTGATACGCGCTCTACACCGCTTTGAAGTTAGGTCAGTTAGGTTTTGTTTTCACGGCTGCTGGCCGCTTTGGTCGATGGTCGTTCGAATTGAAAAGAACATAAACAATGGTTAGGATGATGCCTGATTAAATACCCCTAACGCAGAGTTGATAAAAATGCGAGACACAACTACGATGTTACTTATGAGTTATGGTGTCCCTTTATTGTTTGCCAGTTTTACAAAATTAACACAAAGTTAACCATGGTTATATATTTAAATTCTAATTTTTCAAAATCCGAAATACCATACAATTATTCGTGCGTTTGAGGATTTACAAAAAAAGACACATTAATTATAAAAAATGTAACACGATCGTCTTTCAATTTTTAGAAATCAAATGCATATTCAATTTATAATAAAAAAAGAAACAAAGTAGAAGGTTGAGATCACGTATAATCACGATTAGAGAAACGAAGAAATCACGTAGCCGTGTCGAAATAATAGACAAACAACACGTGGATAATTTCCAGTTCTTGTTCTCTAAATGACAATTATGAGTTATTTTCTCAATGATACGTTGATTCTCATTATAGATCACGCATGAATTATGCAGTCGATTTGTTCCGCGAAGAAAAACCGAAGCATGGGGAAACGTAGACTAAATAGTAAACATTATATTTAGAAATACAATTTTTTCGAATTAAACTGATACTTCGTTTACAATCGAGAAAGGAGAAACTTCGCAGCAAACGATCTAATAATTAAGTTGCGTATCGTTGACGCAACATTAGTCACGCTATATAATCGCTGTGTAATCGTTGAATGTTCGATGAAAGTATTTGTTTTATTTGCAGTTATAAAAATTGATACTCGAGACGTTTTAAAGAACACTGGATACGACAGTTTCAAACTTTATAAGGATCTTTCGTTTAAACAAAGAATTCTCTAAAATATGAATAATTAATTAAACACCCTCACACAGACAGAACAAAAATTTGATCTCCATGGTCGACGTAATAACTCTCGTCCTGATCATAATTAACTTAAAAAAAACAAACCGAGGAAAATTTAATTTGTTTATAAACGCTAGTCAAAACAAATAAATTCGAAGCTTCTTAGCAGTCAAAAGAACACTCGACTTCGGTTCAAAGTTCTTCGAGTTTCGCTGCAATATTTTTTGTATGTTTCGAGTTATTATTCGTTGACTCCAAACCAAAAGCCCTCAATCTTCGGCGCGTTGTGCGTTGAAATTCGAAACGTAGGCCAGTTAAAAATCGTCCGTCCATTTTGTAGCTGGTGATAGTCATCGAAGTTTTAACTGGCCGGATAAAATCTGGGGTTCTGTCAGGGGAAAGGATCCCGGTTAAGCAGCAGGTGCAACGTGTGTTTCTTCGAGCCTGTTCCGCCCTCCTCGTTCCTGTTGGCCGAACAGCTCGTTTTTCTTCCGAGGAGCAAAGCGCTGCACGCACACGGAACCGCGGAACCGGTAGCGGCGGTAATCGGTAATCGATGAATTCGATATTCATATCACCTTCGCTAAACCCGTATTCACTTTCTATGCTCGATATCGGCGCTTTTATCGTTCCGTCTTATCGACTCGTCAAATATTGGAACTCGGATAAAGCCTTTTTTCCCCCGCTAATCACGCATCTTTATTCCGGTAAAGATTTTTAATACCGAGGAGATGTGCCTGCGTCGTAGACGATGCTGACGATAGAATCGAAAGTGTTCCATCAAGATACATCTACGAACACCTCGAATCCATGATAGAAACAACGCGATTAAGTTCGACGAAGGGAAAATTTTTACGTTTTGGCAAATGGGAAATCGATCGATCGGTTGTACGATCGTAGTTGTTTGGGGTTAGAATCAACGTGTTACGTATGTGATAGCCTATCCGTGGCCCAAAACTTGGAAACGCGTCACGCACGTCGCGTGTGATTTGTCTTTTCTCGTTTGCAATATGCTCGTGTATCTATCACGTAGCGTTGCCGTGTCAGATTTGTTATACGTTTCAGCGATGTACTAACGCTGTATATTATTTTTTTATTATCATTTGTATGAATAGAAATACTTCGGTGCGCAGTGGTTCGCTGTGAAATATGATGAACGGGTCGGTTGCGAGCGGTCACCGATTAATTGCCAGTGCAAGTGGTTCAGAGATATCGAGTAAATACGGTGACAAGTCCTGTTTAACTGGTATTCGAGTAAACGTAAGTTTAATGTCTGTTTTTAATTTAATCAATTCTTTATTCGGGTCTCGTTCGCGCAGGGAGATTCGCGCGTTGACAAATTATTCCGTACGTATCGTACGTAACGAATTATTATTAAAATTTATTGAAGATACGAGAATACCCTTATTAATTATTCTTCTTGATTTTTTAACATATCCGTTAAAGGAGAAGTGATCTTTGAGGTTTGCACATTTCACACAGTTAACACAGTCTCAAGAAGCAATTTTATGGAGATGTAAAATCCACCTGGAGTTCTTGTATACAAAATAATATTAAATGTTGAATAATAAACTTTTAAGGTATACAGGGTGTTTGGCCATCCCAGGGAAAAATTTTAATGGGAGATTCTAGAGGCCAGAATAATACG